GGAAGGGAGCAAACATTTGCCCCCGGAGAAAATAATTCTCATGAAGGAGACTGGGGAGGTCTGCCCCTTCTGTTGAGGACCCTCATGTGTTTTGCCTTTATCCTGGCTTTGGAGCTGTCTCCCAGCACCTCAGGCCTGTCACTACTGCCTTCAGGTGGGAGAGGGAGACCCTGATTGGAGCCAGTCTGTGTGGTCAATGGCATGGTCACATCTGCCTTCTACGTGCTCTTCTCTGTCTGGGAACATGTCTCCTCCTGGAGCCTGGACTCTGGAGATGGTGTAAAGCAACTGCACCCTCAGTGCTAGCTTGTCCCAGAGGCCTCCAGCAGCCCAGCAGTGCACCCCATGGAGTCAGCCTGGCAGGGACTGATGGCTGCCCTCTTGTCTAACCCTTGCTTGAGGCCCAGGTAGAGACAATGTCCTCTTGCATTTCTGAGTCCTAGAGACACCTGGGCAGTGAATGGCAGGCACAGGGCAGTATTCATGCCCACCTGTCCCATTGATGGAGAGCAGATGCTGGCTGTCCTCCATTATGCCCCCCGAGAGCTGCCCACAGCCACCTGGCACCTGAAGGATGCTGAGATGTGGTCTCCAGGACCCTTGCAGGAATGGATAACCCAGTACCAACTCAGGTCTGGTCGGCTCTGTGATTCACAAGCACATTCCTCCCTGGAGGGTGGCACTGGCTCAACAGCACTGATTCTGTCAGGTGCTGTTGGTGGGACAAGCTGTCCTCTGACTTCGAAGGAAGCTGGGAGTCCAGATGGGAAGAGCACTGCCCACACATACTACTGCCCGATGTCAGCTGTAGGAAACCCCTCCCAGGCTGTGACTTGGGTTGTCCCAGTGCCTCTCACCAGCAGGGGTAGCTGCTGGAAGGATGCAGAGCTGTTTTGTGCTTATAGCTGGAGAAATAGCCATCCTTAGTCTGAGCTCAGAAGCAAGTGGAGGCATGGATGGTGGCCTCTGATGGTGGCTGACCCAGACACTGGGTGGCCTTCCTGAGCACCCTATGGAGCAAAGGAGCAGGGTTGGATTGCGGTGATCCCACAGCAAAGGCCCCAGTGTGGCCATGTCGGAGACAGCCTGCATGCCGTGGGGTGTGGGGCCCAGGACCACAGCCTTCTGAGTGTCCCAGAGCAGGTTCCTTAGGCAGCTATGGGTGGGTTGTGGATGCACTATGAACACTGACCAGTTTCTTTATGAGTCATGTTCCCACTGGGATGTGGGCCCTACAGAGCAGAGGTTTGTCATCAAGCAAACCCTCCTGGGCCAGGAGGGTGCCCAGCAGTCACTGTAGAAAGAGGGGGCAGTGTTGCAGGGGAAGCAGGCACAACCTACAGTGAGAAAAAGGTATTGGGAAGGGAGGGGAGTTGTTCACTCACCCACTGGACAGACTTGCAGAAGGCCAGGCTGGAGCATTGCTGGGCAGCTAAGGCCCCTGCAGACCTAGTCACGGTGTTCAGAAGTGGCTGGGATAGGGCTGGATGTCACTGTCCAGCTGCTTGGAGCAGAAGTGGGTCAGCAGGAAACTTGGCCAGGGAGGGAGGTGAGGCCATGGTAGCCAAGGAAGTGAGGGCTGGTTGAAGAGCTTCATGTGGGAACTGGGCTCCTTGGAGGAGGTAAGGGTGAAGAAGGAGACCAGACCCTCAGGAGGGACAACCTGAGGCCTGAGGTTACTGTGTTCCGCACAGCAGGAGTGGGTGACATCTGCTCAGTCTTTACAGGGAACCCTAGTTATAGGGACTCAGCAGCCCTGGGGGACGGTGGGGGCTGCACATCTGGCCAGTAGCCCTGGGCGGGTTTTATACATGCCAATTAAAGCTCTTGCCCCTTGTATTTAACTAAAGCAATGTAGATGAAAGGGCGTTTTTATGTAGGCAGGATGCATTTGGCTTAAGTCACCAGGCGCAGAGACCTGAATACTTTTCCCACAAATGCTCATTTCCCCTTCTTTGATCCTCTCTGGCTCTCTTTGACTTAGCGCTTGGAAACCTGTGTGTTGTACTGTTGGGGGTGTGTGCACCCCTTGTGCCCCAGCACACTGCCCACAGTTGGGAAACTGGCTGGTGTGGCCTTAGTTAGCTAGCGTGGTTCTGGTTGGATGAGCAGCCTTGGTTGGTTATAGAATTCTTGGCTGGTTTTTGTAGCATTGAGAATGTCTCTAGGAGACCAACCTAGGGTCTGAGCAGGTTATTTCTATCTGTGTGTGTGTGTGTGTGTGTGTGTGTGTGGATTGAACCCAGGGCCTTTTGCATGCTAGGCATGTGCTCTTCCTCTGGGCTACATCCCCAGTCCTCTTTCAGTCTTGAATGTCCATTCCCCACCCCCATCCTGTGCATTTATGCTCTGGTCTGTAACCAGTGCAAGATGCCAAAAGCCAGTGCTCCTGTTATTTTAAAGACAAGAAATGGAAGGTGTCTTTGAACCCTGGCTATTTTAACTTCATTACAGGGTACGTGGTGTTGATGGTTATTTTCAGCTAAGTCAGAGACTTAAACTCTGGCTACAACCCATCAGTTGCAACCCTGGTTTCTATCAGGAGGTGCTGCTCCCTCTGGTGTTGTTGGCTTCCCACACTTTCCTGGAAGCTGCTGCTTATTTGGCCAGCAGTGGGGGCTGACAGAGCTCTGACTGAGTCATGGGGTGGATGTGGTACTTTTTCAGTGAGAACTGCTGGGGTGTGGCTGGCTCTCAGACCTGAAGGTCTCACTCCTGTATGCAGCAAGGTGAGAGCCATCCAGTTGTACAGGATCCACTGGCCTAAAAAGGAGCCAAGCTCCAGAAAGTGCAGTTGGGAGGAACTTGAGGACCTGGGGTCCCTTTTCTGTCCTCTTCCACCTGCTGCATCTCAGAGACAAGCCCAGCAGGGTGGGTGCAGGTGCCTCAGGAGACAGCCCACCTTGGCACTGAACCACTTGCCTTCCCTGCTGGCATTTGACAGTGACCTGAGCCTACAACCCTGAGCCTGGCGTCAGCTGGCCTCAGCCTCCCTTTACAACAGTGTTTCTGTCAGTGGAGTCACAGCGTCTTTCCTGGTGTAGGATCCAGAAGCTACTCCACCTAGATCCCTCCAGGAAGAAGCTGAGCCCATGGAAGGCACATCTGGGTTCCTAGGACTTACCCATCACCTTACAGAAGCCTGGGACTGTGGCTTCATGAGTTTTTTGGTTTTTCAGGAAAAAAATTAACCCTAGATCAGGTATTTAGAAATGACTACATTCCATTTTAATGGCCACCTAGGACAAAGCTGGTCCTTGTCCTACGGGTCAGAAGCTCCTTCAGGTTCAGGAAGACATCATGCTGGCAGGGCCTGTGCAAATGCTTCAGCACAGGGTTAAAGCAAGTCCCTCAAATGTAGGTTGGCTGTTCGATCTGAAAGGAAAAGAGCTGCTTTTTTGTATTGAAATGAGCTCCAGCATAACCCAAGTGGAACCCTAAAAACAAACCGTACAAGTAGCCTTTTCCTGATGGGTACCATGTGTAGGGGATTGGGAAGACGCGGGGATGCTAACGTGGGCTCTGGAGACCATGGAGGGCCCCTTCCCAGCTTGGTCATGTGGCCTCCACACAGCAGCGCTTCTACTTCCACAATGGTGCCATGGTGTCACTGCAGCCTGGGCCGGGTCTGTGTGCTGCACACTGGTGGGCATCTCACTGCCATCCAGAGCTCATCCGGGTTGACCTGAAGGAGCCCCCGAGTCTGTCCTGATTCCTTCCTCCATGTAGATGGCATCGGAGCTCGTCCAGGCCTGGCCGGAGCCCACAGTTCTGTTGTGCTCTGTCTCCACGCTTCTCTTCCATGCGACTGCAGAACTGTGAGCTTGTCCACTGGGTAAACGCTCAGGGTCTTCATGGCTGTCTTCTGTTTGCTGGAGACGGCAAAGGCACCGGGTTTTTAGTGTGTTCCATGCTGTAGGTTTGAAAGAGGCCTATGTTAGTCACATCTTGTGGATGGGTTTGGACTCCCTGGGTGGTGTTGGGTGGCCTGGCAAGAGGGCAGCAGGATTGGCGGGCAACTCCATGACCTTCTCAGTGAGGAGCAAGACAGTGTATGGGTCCACAGCAGGCACTTAGGGGTCCAACAAACTCAGTGGTGTCTGGTCAGGGTGAGGAGGTAGCACATCTCACTTTTGGGGTTTGCTTGCTTTGGGTAAAATGTAAAGTTTGGAGATCTTGCTTCTCTTCTGCTTCCAGCTGCCAGTCAGAGGCATCCTCTGACCCCTGTGTCATCCCCAGGGACAGGCGCCAACTGACCAGGTGGACAGGGTCTTAGCATCGCATCTACTCCTGGCCTCTGCCTGAACTCAGACACCTCAGGAAACAGGGAGATGATCTGGGGGCCACAAAGCTGGGCTGGGGGCTCCGCGTTTCCACCACTCAGCGGGCTCCTTTGATTGCAGACAGCTTCCCTGGGCTCATTTTGTTTTCATTCTCTGTATCCTTTACTTCTGTGGATTATTTATGAGAACCATGTGAGGTTTTGTTCTGCAGTTTCTTGGCTGAAGCATTGCTTGGATGTGTTTGAAGTCCTTCCCAGTTTTCCATAACTGGTCTTGAGATCAGCTGTCAACTAAGCAGCATCTCCTGGCTGCTAGCCCTGGAGGAGGCGCTAGGCCCTCTGCAGCTCCAGTGGGCACTGCCCTGGGTTCTCAGGCACCATGGGGACAGTTTTGGTGGGAAGTACTGTGGCTGGGCCAGGGGACAGAGGCCATGTGGGAATCTAGGACTCCCAGCCTCTTGTACTCAGAGGCTAAGTGCCTGGGGTTCGATTGCAAGGTGACCCTAAGACTCACGTTGAACCAGCAGGAGTTGCTGGAGGAAGTGAGTCCTGGTCCTGGAAATGATCCTGGAGAGGGGGTTTGTGTGATTTCTGTTCCCAGAAATCTAGATGTCCAAGAGGCCTGAGGGCAGCATCTGTTCTGGTCCTGACCTCACAGAACTCATGCCCCACCTGTTCTGCTGAGCCTTGTAGTCACCTGTTACCCTGCTCTCTACAGGAGCTGCCCAATGGGGACCCCAAGGAGGGGCCTTTCCGGGAGGATCAGGGTCCCCTTGAAGGTGAGTCTGGCTCTCGTAGCTGCTCCCCCTAGGACCTCAGAGACCACAGAGCCACTCAACATTCCCAGTGCAAGATGTGAGCCATTTCCTGTCTCAAAAGCAGTTGGTTCTTAAGTGCAACTGGTAGCCCTGGTTCACCTGGGATCCCTACCAGAATAGGCAGAACAGACAGCATAGATCTGGCAGTCCGAGGACCAAAAAGTTGAACCACAGCGTCCTCAAGTGCAGCGTGTATCATGTTTGGACTGTGGGGGAGGCTGAGCTCCATACACCGGTGACTGAATTCTGAGCCAGCACCTGGCTGGCTGTGCTGGATGTCCTCCTGTGCCGGTGTGGCATGGTCCTAAATGCCCTGCAGTGTGAATCACACACACATGAATCTTTGGTGGCGTGTGACAGGCCATCACAGGCTGCCTGTGGGTCGGGGTGCATGTGCTGACCAGCAGGGCCACCCACAGACAGCTGCTGAAGCCCAGAGGGGATCCCATACCCTCTTCAGCTCTGAGCACCTTTCCAACTCATACCTAGATAATCACCTGCCCAAAAGACATTGGCTTGTGAGAACCAGAGAAAAAAATGAGCCCTAAAATTGGGGGCTCCTGCCCCATCCAAACCCAGAAGCAGGGGGACAAACAGCCCACAGCAGCCTTGTCATGGATTCTGGCATGTGAGCTATTGGGAAACTGGACTATGTGGGAGAAAAAGGGGGAACCTGATGGGGTAAGGATCTTTCTGGAGGCTTCTTGAGTGGAATCCAGCATCGTGGGCCTAAAGGGCCCTCCCCCAACCCTCTGTGCAATGTCAGCTGCACCCTCGGCCCCCAGGTTACTCCCTGTGCCACTATGGGCAAATGGCCCTCCCCTCCCCCATCCTCTTTGCCCCTATATTACCCACCTGGGCTGGGCTCCTTCCTCATCCTCTGTCATCACCTCTCATCCCACAGTGATGCTCCCCCCTGAGAAAGCTGAGGGCCGAGAGGGCCCAGGACAGCTCTTCAGCGTGGATGATGGAGAAAGGGCAACAGGTCGCGAGGGCCCACGAGGACCAGGCAAGAAGAGCTTGAATATTGATGTAGGTCTTAGCCCTTCTACTCCCACGTGGTGCGTCCCTGGGGCCCAGGATGGGCAGCGGTGGCCCTGTGTGGGTGACTGTGGGCTTTCCAGCCTCATGATATCCTGTAGTTCAGCCAGTTCTAGGTATTAGAGCAAGAGACTCTGCTGTGTGTGTGTGGCGGGGTGAGGAGTGGGGAGCCCATGTCACCGTGAACTTGGCCGAGTTGGGCTCCAAATAATTTGAGAAACCTCCAGTCAGTTTGCTCAGCACTGTAGGAATCAGGCAAAGACAACTCTACAGACAGTCCAGTTTCCTGCCCCCTGCCCCGACTCCAGGCAGGCAGGCAGCCGGGAGCAGGAGGATCCAGTTTCCTGCGGGGCCCCAGGGAGGAGCAAGTCAGTTTTAAGTCCAGATTTCTAAAACTGACCACGCTTAACAGTCAGGGTGGCCTCTCTCCTTCTGGGTGACTCTAAGTACTTGTGTTGTGGTATGGAAACTGAATTACAGGGCATGGAGCCAGGACCCCACTAGGAGAGGCGGACTCAGGCAAGGATGGGGTCTGCAGGTTCCAGGCTGTCTACACTTGGCTCCCCTCTCCTGGCTGGAAACTGGGAAAAGCCCAGCCATGTCCCAGCGAGGCTTCTCAGAAGGCCCTTTGGGGTCGTGGGTCCCCTGTATGGCGGTGTTTGTAGAAGGCCCAGTGGCTGTGGGGAGACGCCTACTCTCAAGTCCTTGTGCTCACTCCTTCCCATCCTGTCCCGAATGCAGGCCCTCCAGTGTGACGTCTCAGTGGAGGAGGACAACCGCCAAGAGTGGACGTTCACGCTGTATGACTTTGACAACAGTGGGAAGGTCACCAGAGAGGTAACATAGCCACGGACAGCAGACCAGTCACAGGAAGGGCACTTTGAGATCTGGAATCACGCTAGTCCAGTAGACGGATGGATGAATAGATGATGCCTGGGACCCCAAGATAGAGGACAGACTGACCCCCTGTTGAGGGACGAGAGGCTGGGACCTTTCCCAGGCAGGAAGGGAGGTGGACAAGGGGGGAACCCACTGTGAGGTCCTCAGCTGGCTGGCACCAGCATCTCCTGTACCCCAGTGTTCTCCGTACATGTTTCCTGGCTGAGACTGCCATGGTCTTGTTTCTGCAGCTGCAATGCATGGGCTGAGCCAGCAGCCCCTGTCAGAAGAGCCTGGTTCCTTGAGTGCCCCCTGTTCAGTGGGGCTGTGTGTTCAGGATAGCATAGGGCCCTGGGAGGGAAGCAGACTTGTGGCAATGGGACATTAACACACTGTGTCTGTCTGTGTGAAAGCCGGCTCTTACCTGCTTGCGTAGCTAAAGCTGAGTCCCTTGGATTTCAGCTCTGAGATGTAAAAGGTCAAGAGAGATGTGACTAACTTCAGGCCAGTCCAGGCCTCCTTCATACTCATGGGGGATGAGAGGGGCCTGTGTTTGCACGTCCGGGTTGTGGTGTGAGAGGAACCAGGGGTGACTGGGAGCAGTTGTGTATGTGTGTCTGGCTGGGTGAGCAGTGTCCTTCCTGAGGTCTGCTGTGTTGGTACTAGGACATGTCCAGCCTGATGCACACTATCTACGAGGTCGTTGATGCCTCTGTCAACCACGCGTCGGGCAGCAGCAAGACCCTCCGTGTGAAGCTGACGGTCAGCCCTGAGCCGCCCAGCAAGAGGAAGGAGTGGTCCCCTGCCGGTCAGGGTGAGGATGCTCTTGGCCAATATCTTCTCCCCTGTTCAGAGAGTGCTGGCCTTATAAGCACTGCCCCAAAGACCTGGCTGCCCCACAGCCCCACGACTCACCTGCCCTTCCCTGTGCCTCTCACCTCCTTACCGAGCCCAGAGCAAGTGCCCAGCTATATCCTTTGCCCACTGCCCCCGCCCTCCCCGGGGTAAAGACGTCTCTTGCTTCCACGACATCCCAAGCAGGACCTGGCACCTGGCAGTGGTCAAAACTGTTTGTTCAGTGAGTGAGTGGGTGATGGACGGATGGATGAGTAAAGGAATATATTAGTAATGAGTGTGGTGGCCATGCCTGAAATTCCAGCACCTGGAGGCTGAGGCAGGAGTTTGTGTCCAGCTTGGGTTACATAGTGAAGCCCTGTCTGAAAAAAAAAAGATAATGAATGAGCAAGTGGATGGATGAGTAAATTATGAAGGCAGGACTGAATGAAGGATGAATGGACAAAGGATGCCCCAGTGAAGGCACAGGTGAGTACACGACGGAAGGGACCAGGGAACGAACGAGCAAGCACGGAATGAATAAGGGAGGGAGGAGTGGATGAATGAGTGAGGTGTGAATGAAAAATGAGTGAGCGAGGAATAACTGAACGAGTGAGGAGAGTGTGAGCAGGGGACAAAGGAAGCCTGAGAGAGAGAGCACCTCCCCTCTTCCAGACCGGGAGCCCACACGTGGCAGAACGGAGAGTGAATTCACCGAGGACCCTCGGATGGCCGACAGGAGGCTGTCTGCCCACTGCAGGTAGGGGGCGAGGCCAGGCAGGCTGCTCCAGGCAGGCCTCCTGGCCAGCCTCTGGGGCAGGCTGGTGGGTTGGGCCCTGGGCACAGGAAGGAGGATGTGTGCTGTGAGGGACGAGGGCCCCTGAGCCGGACTCATAGGCACTAGCTGGTTTGGCTGACACCCAGCCTGGCTGCGCTTGGCTCTGTGGTTCCACTTACTGGCTTTGGAGGTGACCAGAGAACATCCTAACATACATGACCTGCTAGAGCCCCTGGCAGGTGACAGGGATCCTGGCTGTGGACCTTGTTCCTCTGGGAATGCACAGCAGTGCATGCGTATTTCTGGCCTGCCCTGGCCAGCAGTGCTGGACACCTCAGCAGGTGTCCCTGTCATCAGAGGCATGAGAATCTGGCTAGCCAGGGGTGGGTGGTCAGGCCCCTCCTCTGTACTACATAGGAGGCCCAATGCTGACCCACAGTCCTGCTCTGTACGGGGGCCCTACTGTGTGGACGAGAACACAGAGCGCAGAAACCACTACCTGGACCTCGCTGGGATCGAGAACTACACGTCTAAGTTTGGTCCCGGTAGGTACCGCAGGGGCCCGAAGCCACAGGCCACGCAGAAGGTGCCAGTGGTCCCACAGCATTCCATCCAAGGGCACCCCACTCTTCCTGGGCACTGGGGGCATCCGATCCCCCCCTCTCGCCCAGATGCGGGCTCTGGCCGCCATTCTAGAGCCTGGAAAGCAGGGCTGGTGTGTGTCCAGGTGTGTGCGCGAGAGGGAGGCATCCCCGGGCCAGGAGCCGTGCGAGACTGCTGGGTTTAGATCCAGGAAGACACTGCCTGTGGGGAAATGGGCATTTTAGGACAGATTTCCAGCTTGGTTATAAGAGGTGGCGGCTGCAGTGCGTATGGTGGCTATTCCTTCCCCTCATGGCCTTCAGAAGGATCCACCAGCCTGGCCCACTCCCTGAGGGCTGGCCTCAAGGACCCCACCACACATTAGGGCGTCCCTGAGGGCAAGGAGGAGTCAGCCCAACCAACCAGACACTGAAACGTGTCAGTGAGCTCCTTCATCCACTCCACACATCCCGGCTGGGGTCCCCAGCAGGACGCGTGTGCTGAAGCTGACACTTAGCTGGATGGAGCTGGCTCTTTGTCACCAGGGAGCCTCATGTGCTGTGTGAGACCCCACCTCTGAGGTCACTACACAGCCTAATCGAAATGGCTTAATCTGCATTCATGAAGCCCCAGTGGGTCATTTTGGATGTCTGTTGGCGGGAGGCACTGAATTCTGGCCCTTCTCTGGAGTGTCCCCTGATTTTATACAGCTTTCTGCCCCAGTGTCCCAGGCAGGGTCCCAGTCATGCCAAGGAGGAAATTCCACTCACAGAGGGACAAGGGGCCTGCAGAGCCAGACAGCAGGTCCCCCAAATGGCAGAGCACTAGGGGTGACAGCCAGGGTCCCCAGGTGTGGAGCTGACTCAGCTAGAGTCCAGGGCAGATCCAGGACAGTTCCCAATTATAGCTGGGCTCTGTTACCTCTCCCTGCCCATTGTTTTGGGGCATGTGACCATCTGACCACTGACCCGGCCACCAGGCTGCCTCAGATGGGAATTTCCTGGCATAGGCCTGACCATGTGTTTCAGGGCTTACAGTGACCCTGCTCTGTGTCCTGTCTGCAGGGTCACCGCCAACACAGGCCAGACAGGAGCACCACGGCAGGGCCACACACCTCCCAAGCAGGTCTCGCTCCCAAGAGTCTGATGCTTATGCCATGTACCACCGCAGATCCCAGGTGCTGGCAGAGCACCTGGTTCCAGCTGCAGAGCCTGCTGCCCGGGCCCTGGCTGCACAGCCCCGGCTCAAGGGGCCAGAGAAGCAGTTCCTCAGGTCTCCCAAGGGTCTGGGGAAGCCATCTGGGGTGCCAGGCAGCAGCAAGCCTGGAAAAGCCCTTGGCCACTGCCTGCCAGCTGCCCCTCCACCCCAGGCCACTCAGGATGGCCACCACCTCCCACAGCCCCCTCCGCAGCCCCCGCCACAGCCCTACGGCCACAAACGATACCGGCAGAAGGCCAGGGAGGGTCACTCGCCACTCAAGGCTGTGCACGGCCAGCCCGCCGTGGTGGAGCATGAAGTGGTGCGGGACCTGCCGCCCATGCTGGGGGCCGAGGGCTACACGGTGCCTATGATCCAGCGACATGAACACCACCACCACCACGAACACCACCACCACCACCACCACCACCACTTCCACCCATCCTAGCGCCCTGCTTGTGCCACGCACACAAGGACTGCACGCCCTCCACGGGACACAGAGCGGGGGCTGGTGTGCCCGGCACGGAGCCCTGCGTCCACTGGCTGCAGATGACAGGTGGGCGTGGGGGAGACAGTGCCAGGCCAGACACTTGTGACAAAGCCCTCCTCTGTGTCCTTTTTCCTCAAAACCGTCTGGACACCAGCATGCCTGATGCCACTGACGGTTCCTAGTTACAAACTATTCTGTGTAATCCATAAAAACCGGGCGTGAGTGCAGAAAACCCGTTTGATCTGCTTTCACGTATGATTCTGGAGTGGGGCCCAAGAGTTATAGAGATTCCTTGGATGCTCTTGGCAAGTCCTCATGGTGCTTCAACCTTCAGGAACTTCTGGTCACCCCAGCAAGGCTGGGAGTAGATAGGCAAAGCCTTTCATGAGGTCAACCAACCCAGCCTTGCACTTAGCCGCTTATAAAGCCAAGGGGGTGGGTCTGCGGAGCGGCTTTTCCTTGCTGTGTCCCGTATCCTTGGTTTCCCTAAAAGATGCAGAGCCAGAACAAGGACAGTCCAGGAATCAGCAGGAAGTGTGGAGGTGAGCTCAGAGAGCAGACGCAGGTTGGTGGCAGGTAGCCGGTGCTCCATGGGCAGTGCAGGGTGGCGCAGCATCCTAAGTGGACATGGGCAGCGTCTCAGGTCAGTTAGCAGATGCTGTCAGATGTGAACAGTCATGTTACTCGTGACACAGATGTGACATTTCCTAGGTGTTCCTTCCTGTAAGGGCTGTGGGGTGCAGGGAGGCCCTCGGCAGCTCCTCACAGCTGGGCGCCTAGGCCGGTGGTGGTCGATGTGGTTCCCTGAGGCTGTGGTTCCCCTGCAGGGGAGTCTCTACGCCCTGTGAGTCGGCAGGTGGTCCTGTACTATTGTTTCTGAGGCTAACTGATCTTGGATTTTCTTCTCACACAATAAAAATAGGTGCATTTTGTAACTTTACACCCTGTGTCTCCAGAGAGTTACAGTCAGTCCAGCTACACTGAGTGGCCACAGGTACAGACAGCGGGCAGCGTCGCGGAGGGTGTGTGTGAAGGGCACGACTGCTCGGCTTGCACTCACACAGAAGGACACGGATACACGTGCAGGTGCACCCAAGTCCATATCGATGGGGAAGGGCTTTTTGTATTGCTCTAAGAAACCCCAACAGTGAAAACTCTAACCCTGAATTCAGCTCTAGGCACTTCATCTTGGGCTGTGTAGGTCGTCGTCGTTCGTGAGGAGTCGGGCTGCCTTGTAAACACGTCTGTCAGTCAGGAGACGCCAATGCCACCTTGCCCTTACTCCCCTCCCTCCCTCTCACGCCCCTTTGAAAATCCCTCAGGATTTCTGCGCTGGTGTCTCCTGTGAGCTGGGCTCCAACACAGGGAGGATTGGCCATTTGCGGGTACACTGAGGCCTGCTGCTGGACAGTGCACGTGGAGACTGTGCTATGCCCCTGCCTGTGCTGGGTTGGCCCGGAGGCCAGCAGCAGCCAGGTGAGCAGAGCACGGGGCCAGCTCCCTTGGACATGGCGCCACAACACACCACTGGTGTACTGTGGGCTGTGGGGTCAGCCGCCATGCAAGGACCCAGCTACCTGAGCCTGGCATGTTGACGTCACCACCTGACCACAGCAGCACTTGGAGAAGAGTGCCAGTCATCGCCAAAAGCCCTGTTGCTTAGTGTGTGGCATTCCTGTGCTGACTTCAAGTTAAGGGGTCCCTTCAGGCCATGAGTGATGTCACAGACTGGCGTCCCCGACGCTCCTGGGCCAGGACCCAACTGAGCAGCTGAGGAAGAGAGGAGAGACCCCGAGAGTCTGAGCGGCAGGTCATGTGAAGGCTCATTGGTTACTTGGGACTGGAGTTTAAACTTGGGGCCTCATGCTTACTTGGCAGGAGCTCTACCCCTTGAGCCACACCTCATCCTTTTCTTTTTTCACGTTTCATGAGAGCTGGCCTTGAACTGGGGTCCTTCTTCCCCTACCTCCTGAGCAGCTGGAAGCAGTCATCCATCACCGCAGCCAGCCCCAAGCTCAGGTTTTAAAAGCAAGTATGAGGCAGGTGGTTCACCTGCAAGCCCAAAGCATCTGCTGCTGTTTGAATGCTGAGAAGCAGAGGAATCCATGTCACACCAAAACAGCCTGCAGGACTGGACCACAGACTAGGCCTTAGGGCCAGAGCGGCACTCTTGAGCCTTAAAGAGATGGAAAAATGAGAACAAAATGAAAACAAAACTTAGCTGGGCATGGTGACACATGCCTGGAATCCCAGCACTAGAGAGGATGAGGCAAGAGGATCACAAGTTCGAGGCCAGCCTGAGTTGAATAGCAAGACCCTCAAAAACAAAACAGTACCGGTGCTGGTGGCTTACACCTATAATCCTAGCTACTCAGGAGGCAGAGATCTGGGGATGGCGGTTCGAGGCCAGCATGGGCAAACGTGAAATAGCTTGGAAAAAACCCATCATAAATAAAAGGGGGCTGGTGGAGTGGCTCAAGTGGTAGAGCAAGCATGAGGCCCTGAGTTCAAACCCCAGTACTGTCAAAAGCAAAACAAAAGTCACTTATGGGCACCAATAGTGGGTCACTGTGGACATGGTCACTTATGTCCTCCACATGTGGATGAGAACAGTGGGTCTGGGAAGGGTGCAGTAGGTTGGCTTGAGACTGGGGGCTCGGGGTCCTCAGGGCCACTATTAGGGGAGGGTCATGCAGCTCTGTCGGTGGGAAGGCCAAAGGTATGATGCCCTGTCCCCATACTGCTGGGTGCAGAAAGGCCTCACACAGGAGCAGTTATGGTAGCAGCAGAGGGAGCAAGGAACGGTATCTGCAGGCGTGGGTTGTGGTTACAACATGGTCTCACACCTGGACAGCTGTGTCCCCAGATAAACCACTTTTGAGAGAAGGAAGGCATCTCCGAGACACCCTACCTCAATGGGAGTTCTGCCAGCCTCAGGCTGCAGCTTCTGACCATGGGCTCCATCCAAACACCTTTTCCTGGTCTTGGGTGGCCATCTGTCCACATGCTGGGACCTATCTCTTGTCCCCTCCTTCCCAGGAAGATGAGGTATCAGTTAGGAACCTACCAGAACTCCAGGGTGGCCCTGCCTGCCTCCCTGGGGCTCTGTCTTGAGCTCTCTGCCACTTTGCTCCTGCCTGCCACAAAGGTGAGTTCAGGAAGCAGAGGGCAAGCTCTGCCCTTCTGACCACCCCAGTACTGCCTAAGGCTGCCAAGCCTTCAGCACATCACCCACACCATCCAGGCCAGCCAAGCCCAGAGTTGGGTAGGTCCTGGAAGGTGACCCTCCTCCTGGCCCACATCCCACACGGGCAGAAAATCTGCCTGTCCAGGCCACCTCACGTCACCTCCCACCCCCATAGGGCCTCTCTGCTCCCTCAGTTCTGGTCACACCTGCTTGCTCCTCTCACCTTGGGTGAGGCAATCATCCCCAGTTAGACAACTTCTGGAGGGGCCTCAATCCAGTGACAGTGCCAAGTGTCTGTCTTGGGGACAGGACCCCTCCACATGGGGCTTCTCTGAGTCACTCCCTTCCCACCCCCCTCCCAAGTGTGTCCAGTGTCCCTGGAGCAGGAGGCCTTAAAGTCTCTGGTAGGGTGTCTGGTAACAGATTTCTCTTGGCCATCAGCAATGCTCACTGAGCCCCATGTGCAAGGCCAGGCAGGACAGGTCCCTTTTGTGTTTTCATGGCTTCTCCTGCCCAGGCATATGATGGTCCTCATCACCCGAGCTGGGCCTGCAGGAAGCCCCATTGCCTGCATTTTCTCCAGCTGGTAAACTTTATGGTAGAGGAGGCAAGCTAGATTCTCCAGACACACTCAGATTTCAGGACTTTATTCCACTAACAAAATCAAACAAAGACAAGAACCTATAAAAGAAAAACATGAATTGGATTCTGAATGGCTACAGTTAACGGGGACAAGAAGTTTGCCAGGGAGAGGCTGGGCACAGGTGGGGAGGCTTGGGGGGCCCCAGCTCTTGCCAGACAACTACTGTGAGGGTTTGGGACCTGGATGCCGCTCTGCCACCAGGGGCTGTTTCCTAGGCGCTCTGCCTGCTCTGCTCTGGGGCAGAGCCCTTGGGACTCAGGTGAGTCGGCTGCTTAATACAGAGCTGACCCAAAGTGGGCAGGAACATGAAACTCTGGGCCCCACAGTGCTGTCAGGGCCCCATGCTGGGCAGCAGTCACTTTGACCCTCTCGGCACCCACATCCCTCTGAAGCCTCTGCCCTGAACTCCGTGGACAGGGCTGTTTCCCTTGGGGACCTTGCAAGCCGGAGAAAGCCAAGAGCCTGGTGAAGTGGGGCTTTGCACAAAGCAATCTCTTTATGGACGACACAATTATCACACTGCCTCAGGGTGTTTAAATAAATAAATATCCCAAACAGAACGCGAGGCATGAATTGCTGCTACGATCCACAGCCTGTGAGCAAGAACGTGACCTACAAAGCAGGAAGCTTGAGGGTAAAGTGCAAATCTTCTGAAGGGTCCTTGAAAGGTACAGTGGGCTCCTGCAGCCCCACCGTGCAAGGCACACGCCCCTGGCAGGGATGTGGGGAACTCGGCCAGACCATGGTGCCAGGTCTCTGAGGCTGCCTTCTCCTTCCTGGAGAGCGAGCAGTGGAGCCGACATGTCACACAGGTAGAATCAGACGCAAGCCACGTCTGTACTGAGCTCTGGAGGGCTCCTGCTGTGCGTTGTGGACAGCATGGGGCAGTCTTGGGTTTACACTCTGCCTGTCCCACCCTGGGTCTTGGTACAGTTACCTGCACGAGGCCCCCAGAAGCCCTTGGGCTGTGGGGCCCATCAGTGCTTATGAAATGAAGTGGCTGGGTTCCCACAAGAGGAGGTGGCTGGACCCGCTTCAGATGTGAATCTAGACTGGAGCACAGCTGAGGCACCATATGGCTGACTAGTGACCCATCTTAGTCCCAAAACACCAGGCTCCCTTTCCCTGCCTGTGGAGTGTGGACAGGGTCATGCTGAGGTGGGCAATGAAGGGGGACAGTCCTCAGCACTCTGTTCAGCATACAGAAGCACAAGTGAGGGTGCTCAGAGGAACAGAGGAAAGTGAGGGGCCGAAGGGAGCCTACAGCCATGGCAAATGTTTGGCTTCAGCCCCAAGGGCCGTGTGCTTGCTCACGAGTATTCTGGATGGGGCAGGAGTGAAATGGCACGGCCACAGTGTGGACAATGCAGCCATGACGGGTATCTGGAATCTGGAGGCCGAGCCTGGGCTGTGCTGGCTGGCTCTGACCTCGGTGGGGAACCGGCTATTTCCAGGTCCCTGGGCACTCTGAGCTCTGCCTCAGACAAATCCAAGGAGCCGTCCAGTCCCACGCTCATGTACTCAGTGCTGCCTGAAGCATCTTCTGCTTAGAGGGAGCTGAGACGGTGGGTCTAAAACATCTGTAGGAAGTCATCACTGTGTGGTATCCCTGTGGGTCTGAGCCTGGCCCAGGCTGCTGACACTGTCCATGTCCTCACCCCATCCAGGTCCATCTGGTGTTCTCAGGAGTTAGGAATAGATGGTGATGACCTCCCGGCCACCACCTCTGACCAGTAGGACCCTGTTCAGCCCCTCGGTCAAGACCTCGAGAAATTCCATGTCTGCAGTGGCAGAGTTAAGGACACACAGCTCTATCTGGGCTACACAGAGGGGTGACGTCTTACAACACAGATTCAGTCTAAGGCCAAGAAAGGCAGAGAAAGGCAGACCAAGGGGCTTGGGGTGGGCCTGGGGAACTCCAAAGAAAAGAGGGGAGGAGAAGGTGCTATAAAGAAGAGCAGGGAGAGGAAGCGGCTACTTCTGGGGGCCCAAGGAGAGTAGGCAGGGACAGAGCAAGGATAGCCACCCACCAGAAACCTGTCAGGTAAGCAGGGCAGAGCCAGAACCCAGGGATCCTGTCACATGCAAGCAGCCTGGCTAGGCAGTCTCTGAGTAGGAAAACTGGAGGTGTCCTCCCAAGGCTCTGGGCCCAGGATTAAGGCCCAGTCCCTCTGTAATCCCATGTAGCCACCTAGCAAGAGACCCAGAGATGCTGATGTCCTTGTTACCGACAAAGCATAAAGTCCTAAAGCTGTGGCCAGTGGACTTGAATTTCCAAACCTGAGAGCCAGGCCTCCCACCAAGGCCAGGGTCGGGGGGAGGCAGTGGGCAACGAACCTCAGGATTGCCCTGGGGTGCACACAGGGCTTGGGGACATGGGCTGGTACAACAGGCAGTGGGCACACACTCAGGCCAAGAGCCCTGCTCAGGACAGGCTGACCTGCACGCTCAAGGCCAGGCCTGGCAACTGCCATCCCCAACTGACAGAGTGTGGACCAAGCCCATGCTCATGCTGACTGGCCCTGCTGGACACTCAGACACAGTCTCTGTGTCCCCTCCCATCACCCTAACTCGTGGGGCATCACATTCCCCATCAAGGCCTGTCAATCACAGAGAACATGGGCTGCTACTGCCTCACCCTCTGGCGTCCACATTGCCTGCCGCAGTCCAGCACCAACACCCCCACAAAAAAATTGAGCAATCCTGGGGTTGAGTGTACAGCTCAGGGGTAGAGGCTCTGGCCTGCTCCCTAGTACGATTAAAAAAAAAAAAAAAAAAAAAAAAAAGCCACATCCCAGGCAGTGCTGTCCTGGTCTCCAGTGGCTCAAATGAGGAGTCCTTTCTCCAAACGCCAGGAAGGGACCTGACTCCAACCCCTCTCCGAATGCTCTGGAATCCTCCAACCTCAGCAGGCCAGGCTTATTCCCCAGCTGTGTCCCTGTCTTCCTGCACCCACAGGGGCAGCATGGGAAAGAGAGTGGACACTGCCCCAGTGGCCCCTCGCCAATCTTAGCTCGGGGACCTCCGGAGGGGAGGACCGAGGTCCTGCCACAGTACCAACCAACTGTAACAGAACTGCTTAGCAGCACTCCCACACCCCGGCAGGCAGGGCTGCAGGAAAGGATACAGTTCTCGTCGCCCTGCCGGTTTTTGGGGGGCCCTGGCATGTTCAGGAGGACCAGCTGGGCATCCTGGGACTTGTTGAGGACGACGCCGTTGAGCTTCACAGCTGTGTGCATCCTTCTGACGTTAGACTGGTCCCTGCAGGAGGGGCGGCTGTGGTGGGCGGGCGGGGCCTTCAGCCGCCTGACCCGCCCACTGTGCTCACGCATGCTAGAAAGGCCAGGGGTTGGACGAATTCCCGGACCCTGAAGAGTCCAGAGGAGGTGATTCCACACGAGCGGAAATCATCTGATGACCAGCCGTGCAGAAAATTTAGCAATGAGAAGCATTTGGCCCAACACATTCTCGAACTGAGCGCACATCACTAAGTTGCCAAGCTTCCTACGGCTGCAACAGGCCCGGTAAACTAGATACACGTGGTGAACTATACCTGCAAAGCAGAAGCGGAGACATGGCACAGCTGCAATCCAGGAGGACATTAGGAAGGCACTGAGGGTTCGGGTGCCTCTCAGGCCTCTGACACCTCCTATAGAATCCCTACATCATTTCCTGACCTGTGTTGGTGCTGCCAAGTGGAGTACATAGGCACAAGTTTGTGCATGGAAGGCGGGAGGGGTCAGGCACTCAGAAAAGAAGTTCAGAGACTCCTCTACATGACCCGTGTGGCATCGCAGGCCTGACACACTCTGGTTCTGTAATGCAGCTGGGATTTAGCAGAGCATTGAGGTTGAGCACAGGAGCCCATAGCTACCTGGGTCCCCTCTTGTTCCTGCCCTGGGCCACCCTAGACGATGGCTGCAGCTAAAGCCTGCATGTCTGGGGACCACAGAGCAGAATGTCACAGGTATTCTACATGGTCTGCTCAGGTGCTACTGTGGCCGTGCAACACTTCTCAAAGTGTTCCTGGAGGCCCACTCACAGCCTCTGGGGTGCAGAATCCAAGTTTGGATGCTGCAGACTTTCACTTCCTGAAACAGAATGGCACTCATGCACCCGCAGAACAGAAGCCTGGCCTCCTAGTGCATCCCATGTCCTCGAACAGGTGGTCAGTTCCCTCTCCAGGGAGTCAGGTCAACCCACGTGGAACTGGTGGTTAGGAAGCCACTGTGGGACACCCTGTGGAAGCTGCAACCCCTAAGCAGGCCACACCTGTCTGTGCTGGCTCTGAAATCACAAGATACACTCTGTGGCCAGCCCATTCATCTACTCATACGATCTTGACTGCAGCCCTTCTGAGTGCGGACCACCTATGCCACACATGCAGAGACGGGCAGAAAATAGATGGAGGCCACCACTTACAGGCTCAGGGAAAGGCCCTGAGGTCCCAGGCTCGTGCACTTTACCAACTCAACCATTAAGCCAAATAAATAAACCAGCTTGTTTAAACCAATTACCAGGTAGAGACCAGGCAAAGGCCCCTTATCTTTTCTCTCCAGTTTAATCTGATGAAATTGCAGGTGGGTCTCTGTCCCTGGCATACCAGGATCATTACAAGAACCCTGAGCTTGCTGCCTGGACAGGCCACACACAGTTAACTGTTTGGTCAGACAGCAGTTAAGGTATGTGAGGAGAACTTGGAAATCACACATAACCTTCGCCTCTGAGGTTTGGGGTTCCCGAGCAGCACACCCCATGGAGGTTGGAGAGGCACCAGGGGGACCGGAGTGGCGCTCAGGGTTCCAGAAGCTACCTGAAGCCTGCCCCACTCTCCAGCATCCTGGTGTGAATCAGTAAACAAGGAAATGGTTCATATGGAAGGTTGAATTTAGTGACGAGCTTTCTAGACAGGGCGTCTGGAAGTCCCAGGAGCAGAGGGTGAAGTCACATGTCCTCAGTTAGTTACTAGCAGAGCCAACTAAGATCGGCCAAGGTGTATACAGAAAGACAGAAAGTGCACACACAAACATGCACACTTGTGTGCACACGCACATATGCTAACAGGTTCTCATGAATGTGCACCAACATGTGTGTGCACCGAATGTGCACACACACCAGTACACACAAGCATGCATTCACACTCCTCAATGTGCTCCAGGGAGAAGTCAGCACATCTCACTCTTGGACCAAGTAGGAGAGGGGCCTGGTCTCTGATCTCTGGAGCGTCTTTCTGACCTTGTGTTTTTCGTTTAGTTAATAAACTCTGAGGCACTTTCCAATTTACAGAGATGAGAAGAAGTCAAGAGTTCCAGTACATGGCAGGCCTCAGTTCCCCGAAGATGGGCCAAACTTCCTGGGGGTTCCTCAGTGTCTGAGAGTCAGGTGCAGCCACGTGGCCAAGAGCCCCAGATCAGCACCGACTCCAATACTGCCCTATGAGGGACGACAGCCAGGAGGACTAGGGAGAGCCAGGGACAAAACAGAGGGACTGAGACAGTGGTGTGTGCAGGCAGCCTCAGGACAGGTCCTCCCGAAAGCTGGATATCCAACTGTGGACCCCTGCCCTAGACATCCTGGCCTGGACCCTCATCCCTGGAACTCAGATGCAGGCAGCCTAATCACAGAGCTGACCCACACCGCTTTCCACTGGAGAAGGAGCAGCTTCCAGGGTAGACAGGTACAGTGTGCTGGGAGGCGACTCCGCATGAAGCGCCTGGACCTGGAGGGCTGTGGGGTGACTGTGACATTGCTGTGGTAAGGGCATGCCTGCCTCCTCTTGCAGTGGCTCAGGACCATCCCTCACAGACCATCTGTAGCATCACGTGACCTTGGTGTGTGTCCTGGGCACTCTGAGCAGATGCGCAAGGCAAACAGGACTCTGCACACATGCAGGGCTGTGCACATAGGGCTGCACACACACAGAGCCACACATTACACAGGGCTGCGCACACACAGGCATGCAGGGTAACCACGGCTAAGAGGCAGTTAAGCAATGCAGGTGGACTTACAGGTTTCCCCATTCTCTACACGGAAGAGAAGAACAGACAGCAGGTTAGTCCAGAGGATGACGTACCTGTCCCACCACACACAGGACACATGAGGTTGCCCTGCTTAGCTGACAGAAAAGCTGACTTTGGCCCTTCTCCTCCAGGGGTCCCACCCCTCAGGACCCAGAAAGCCCTTTGGTCCTCGTGGGAATTAGAGACTTTAGGGTCAGCCCCTCCACTGAAGACCCAGACGAGAAGTGGCCCTGGCCCTCTCCTGGGATCTGTGTCAATGAGACCAGCCACACTGATAGCCGTGGCTCAAAGCAGCCATGAGACTTTGATGCTACACTACGGCAGCTGAGGTTGGGGTGCCCTGGAGCCCACGGTCAGCTTAAACAACTGGCAGGGAAGAGCCAGGAACCCTGAATCTGTCTGGAAGCTCCACCTGTCTGAGATGGCGCAGACGCACTCATGCAGCTGTGTGGAGTCCACCACCAGCCAACATGCAACCTGTACCTCCACCTCACTGCCCGGCTTGCTGGCACCAAGAGGAGGACACAGCTTTGGGCCAGCGAGTCCAAGCCTAATGGGCCTGATGGTCAGTGGACACCTCCCTGAAGTCCTTAGTGGGCAAGGAAGAGACTGTCCTCACTGTGGGTTGGCACAGTTGGGCTCTGCCCACTGCCCAAGGCCACAGTGGACACTCACGGCTTCAGGCTGAAGAGGTCTTTGAATCCCGACGTGCTGGTGTCCTTGCTCCTGTGCCTCTCTGCGATCAGCTTCTCCTTCGTCCAGGTCATCTGCACTTTGTCAGGCGTTGATGGGGCTTGGGTCCTGGCGGCTGCTGTGGTGTGGGACGCAGTGTTCCTGTCATGGATCAGCTGGGCCTGGGGAGGGTGGGCGGCGCAGGACTTAGCATAGCCAGCAGCCAGCCAGAGCCACCCCGCAGGGAAAGCAATCCACACACCAGGCTGGCCACAGAACCAAGAGGACTTTGTGAGCAGCACATGGGACCCCTGGACCAGAGCCTCCCACAGGGGCCTGGCACTGCCCCCCACCCTCCCACAGGTCTCCTGGGCTTCTAGACCCACTCTTCACTCCCTTCTCATCTCTTCCCACCTTGCCCTCCTGCTTTGAAGAGAAAGGCTCAGGACTCTGACAGGAGGGGACACTTGTGCCACAGGACACCTCCCACATAGTCCCCATCTTCAGGAGGGCCTGGTCCCTCAAGGAAGCCAGCTATGTCTGACAGCTGGGCTCTGTGAGGGAAGGTGGGCACCAGTCACAGGATGGGCCACCTGGCAGCCCCGGGAGGACTAAAAAGGAAAAGTGTCCCCGTGGCACCGCCCTGCCCCTAGCTGTAGGTGTAACAAGGGGTGAAGTGCCAACTTGAAGATCCTCCCTTTCTAGTCCAGCCCATCCTCAGACCTGCTCTACTGCAGGCCAGCGTGCTACCTAGGGGCCCCTTGGGAAGCTAATATGGACACCGTGAGGTGGGCACAAATTCACCAGCGCCACAGCGATGTCCTGCCTCAGTTCTCCCTGTGGTGCTCTGTCTGACCCCTTTCCTCCCTGACCCTGGTCATTTTGTCTTATGTTATTTTATGTGGTTGGGATTCACTGCCCTAATAGAAATTATTCAGAAGAAATGACTTGACGACACCCATAACTGATGATCAAATGCAGTGCCCAAATGCACTGGGCCTAGCCACACACACTGCACACAGAACAGCCGGGCACCACACACAGCACACAGAACTGGGCACACGCACTGCACACAGTCACATGCACAATGCCCAGACACTCATACCAAACACAGCAAGTATGGCACTTGTGAACTGGTCTGGCAAAACCAGACCAGTTATTATAGGCTCGAGCCTATAATCCTAGCTTTGTGGGAGGATCATGGTTCGAGGTCAGCCCGAGCATAAAGCAAAACCCTATCTCAAAAATAACCAACACCAAGAAGGGCTGGTGGAGTGGCTCAAGTGATAGAGTGCCTGCCTAGCAAGTACAAGGCCCTGAGTACAAACCCCAATACTGCCAAAAAAGACCCCCAAAATAATAACAAAAAACCCCCAGAGTGACAGCCACTGCAGAGCTGGATATTCCATAAGGCCTTGACCACACTAGCTTGCAGGTGCAGTCATAATGAGTGCAAGGGACTGGGGAACACTGCCTTGGTAGAAGGTGGCTACTAAAACACCACAGTGCTTGGTGTCTGGCTTGGGGCAAGTCTGCAAAGGTGCAGGGCATGACACATGCTTGGTAGAGAACCATGAGGGGTCATGCAGGACTGGATAGGCAGCTTGCACCATACCTCAGGACAGAGGAGGAAGCCTCTGGCAATCACTTTCTATTAGCTCCTAATTTCTTGATTTCTGAGAAATTAGCTCATCTACCTTGAAGATCTCTCCGGACTTTTAGGCAAAAACTAAGGCATCAAGGAAAAATCTCATCTCCAGGCTGGGGCCACACAGCTCTAAGGAGGGCTACAGGGAAGGCTCCAGGCCTCCCGCTTGGATGAGATGATCCCTTGGGAATCTAACAAGGTTGCTCTAACTCCACCCCAGCACCTGCTGCCAAGGGAACTGCAGGCTGGACCCACACCTCCTTCTGCCAGGGCCAGTGCAGGGCACTTGTCTGGAACAGCACAAGTGGGAAGGGTCTGGATGGATGGAGAACCCCTCTGTCAGATATTCTTTTGCACAAAAGCACCAGGTCCACCAGCAGAGGGAAGCCAAGCTTCCCTAAACCTGCATGGGGTGAGGGTCTGCTGGAGCCCCTAAGAGGGGACCAAGCTGCTTTCTCCTCTGGGCATCTGATCTCAGTCTTGGGCATGACTTTCCTGTGGGGGTCACCTCTGAACCCTTACACAGGCAGATCCCTAACAACCCCGCTCAGTGGCCCTGGAGCAGAGCACCTGGCTTTGGTCTGAGGTCTGGATGTCCAGACTACCAAAGCTGTCTGTATTAGACAGGGGACAGAGACAGGAGATATGCCACAGCCCCTGCCAACCCCGAGATCCCAGGGAAGTGAGCCGGCCTGGGGTAACAAGTAGTTGTGGGAGGTGTGTACACGACAGAAGCTTGCAAACCAAACCATGCCTAGTGAATGTGACATTAACAGCCTGGTGATGTGTGGCCATCAGACCAGCCCAAAGCAAGCTAGAGGTCAGGCCAGGCCAGGCCAGGCCAGACTGGGGCACCTGGCTCTGTGCTCACCTGCCCCAGCTCACACCTGCCTTCTGCTAGAGCACCTGGATGCTCTGTAACCTGAACCATTCCCTGGGCTTTGAATAGCACAGGTAGGCCAGGCACACGTGCAGTGAGCAGTGTTCAGACCAGGACTGCTCTGAGAGGGTGTGGCCAGCCAGGCATGAGGGAAGAGGTGATGAGGACCCATTCATCTCTACAACATTTTACGTGTTGACGTGAAGGGAAACCCACGGCCACTGCAGTGCCCATGACCTTGGCCTTGGGTTCTCTCACTGGACAGTAGAGCCTAGATGTCCTGCCAAGGGGCAGAGACCCTAAGGGGTCAAGAGCCTGAGTGGCTGAATCCGGGCTGCCAGAAGCAGAGGACCGGACAGAACAAGGCGCCCATCAACACATGGTAACAGCTGAAGCTCAGGCTCCAGTAAGACCAGTAGGCACAAGGAGACCAGTAATCCAAGCTGAGTACATTTGCCACACAGACACCCAATGGGACGATGATGACTGAGAACACACAGCTGACCCCACTTAGCAAACCAATGTCCTCGTGAAACGGCCAGAAAGTGTCTCCTTCGGCATTTTGGAGAAGTGGCCAGTGCTGCTGTTCACAGGCCTGCTCTGACCATGACACCCATCAGGCAGGGGCAGCACTTTCCAATACCTCCATGCCTGCTTCACATTTGAAGATGATACTGGGAAGCTGTGGCAGATGAGGCTGAGGAGCAACACAGGCTGTGCTGCAAGACATGCCCTCCATGGGATCCGGACAGACAGGACCTGGCCACCTGCCTGCCCTGTGGAGCCTGAGCCTGGGTGGATTAAGAGCCCACTGGGTGGTGCTGCTCAGCCTCAGCTTCCTCAGGTGGCAGTGTGACGTCCACTCACTCAAGTGTCCAAACCTTATATCCTTCGGCACCCTTGCTGTCCCCCACCCCCAGTCTTTCCCAAGTCTTCCAACAGAATCAGAACCCAAAGGCCACCCACTCATTGCTGGTCCATGCAGCTGGACGCTAACCACCGTGCTGCCTCTATCCTGTCTGGAGGCACCTCTACTTCAGGGTCTGACTCAGGACCTTCCTAGTCTACCCTCCCTTACTCTGCTTTTCCAGTCCCTACTTTATCAGGAGTTAGTAATTCTCCATGTTAACCTAGCCATTTGATCCATGGTGTGAGCTCTTTCTCTGGTTAGAGCTAGACTAAAACCCTGGGAAAACTGGCCCATTCCCAGGGATCCCTGCAGCCTGCAGGCATGTGACAGGAATGAGGCCACCAGGTCCTGCTGGACAGTGTCAGAGCCTGGCTGCTGCCAGGTGTCCATGGTAACAGGTCTCCATCCATAGACACACTGGGCATCCTTCCAGGGTCCTGGAAAGGTCTCCTGTAACCTCCGCTCACTGACTCATCCCAGGACCCGAGTCCTTCTGCCAGAGTAGACTGTGGTCACTGTTCTGATCCCAACCATCAGTCCACATGGGCCCATGTCTGACCTGTGACTGGCTGAGTCTCATGGACAGTGAGGTTCTGGGAAAGGGGGTGTTTTGTTCCCCTATGACCAATCCTACAGAAAACCATTCCCTCCCCCTGATCAACAAATGCAAACCCATGTGTGAGACGCCCACCTGAGTGTGTCCGGGAAGGCCTATGAGGGCACAGCCTTGAAAAGGCAGACATCATGTCTTCCACACCTTCCCCAGGTGTCAAGTGACCACGAAGACGCCAGCATTGTGGTCACACTGCACCCCAGGGGCACAGGTGGCCACACCTGCACTTCATAAACAGCCCACACCAAACACTGCATGCACCACACGCAGCCATCCATGGACTCATGGCCACTCAGACTCCACGTGTGTGCATGGGGAGCAGACAGTGCTGACCACTCCCTTCACACACGCACCCCCCACCTGCTCTTGGACATACGGAGTCTGTGTTCTGGGAGAGCCTGGGGTGTCAGGTGCCTGACCACACACCTCTCTCTCCCGCTCGTTCTTGGACAGCTGCATCTGCTTCAGCATCTGGGATCTCTGCTCCATCATCAGTGTTTTCTCGTAGGTGAACGCAGAAATGTCATTTTCAACCTAGAAAGTCCCAAGGCACAGAAGTAAAGAGCATGCACAGAAAAATGCTGTCGTCAGCAGACTCCACAGGACATCGAGCATGCCTAAGCAGGGGACCGGTCACGTGTCCTGGGCCCTGCTGTCCTCCCCTTCATAGGAGTCACCCCAGTGCAGAGTGGGCCTAGGGAGCCACGAGAGTGACATGGGATCAATGGTCACAATCGGATACATCCTACCGCCCATCCAGGTCACCTCCCTGGGATCCTCTGACACTAACAGACAGCATGACGACAACACTGCCACTCCACAATGACCAAGAATGCTGGCATCAGGGCTCTGGACAGGGTGTGCCTGCCTTCGAGGGGCACATGCTCATAAATAACATGTATTGTGTTCTATACTCAGGTGAGCTCACCACCCACAGAGGTTAAACCCACAGAAAACGCACAGAGCACCAGGGGCAGCCGTTTTAGTACGGGGGACCTGGGGACCCCCAGTGTTACCTTCCACGCTCATGGCACCTGCGCCTGTTACCCTCAAGTACCTGAAAACTGCAGTCAGCCTGAACTACGACCATCAGTGACCCACACAGTCGGGGGACCACGTCCCTGGAGCAAGACTGCTGGCTGAGAAAGAAGGGAAGCCCCCAGGGCTAACGACCTACAGGACTGTGGCCCAGAGAGCAGGGGGCCTCACACACACTGCAGGTGCACAGGGACGGACACACGCTTGGCTCTGCTGGTCTCCCTGTCCAGCCCTGGGGCTGCCCTGGCAAGGCCCTCCTCTCCTCCCAGGGCCCAACCCTGGGCAGCTTCTGTTAATACATCACAAAGATGTTTTCTGACTGGAAATCAAGCCAATCGGACCTCGGAGAGCAAGTCCACAGAGAGGACCCATGAGCAAAAGCTATGGAAAGCCAAGTCCACAAGATCGGGATGGCCAGGAATGTCCAAATGCAAATGCACAACTCCCAACAGCAAGCCTGGGGTAGAAACGGGAGGAGACACCCCAGTTGTGCTCCCTGACCCATACAAAGCTGTGACAGAGCAGGAGGAAAACAAGCCTAGGACAACAGGCTCCCTGGGAACTAACAGGAGAACACACAGAGGCCACCAACAATACACAAAGGGAGGCCTGGCCTCACCTACGATTAAAGACACCAGTTGAGACAAGAGGCTTGTAAGCAGTGACAGCAAGTCGCTCTGTGGCCTGAGGTGGGGCAGTACCGCATGGATAAGGAAGGGAAAAGGCCCTTTGGGGACAACCTCCACCAACATTGTGTCCCCAGTAGTTCTGCTCCAGAGACAGGGTCACACGTCCACTCATGCAATGTGCAGGCCAGTGTCCACCAAGGCAATGTCCCTGATCATAAGAAGCAGGAGTAACCTATGCAGACCACGCAAATGAGCACACAGCACAGGTGAGTCAGGACCATCGAGGTATAAAGGACACATTGCTGCTCCGTCCAGGGCTGCTCAGCGCAGCAAGAACAGCCCTGGGACAGGCGCCAGCTATACGAGCTCCTCGTGTCACCCTCTCTCTCGAGGCATGGGGCATGTGATGAGTCCTGTCCTTAGATAACAACAATGGGCCTGACCTTGGTGACTCCATTCATCCAGACGAGCTGGCCATTTCCAGCTGAGGGAACCAGAGCCCGACTGGACGAAAGCACGGAGCCCAGAGGCCCCAGACCTCACCCACCAGAGGCTGAGTCATGTGCCGGGTGCAGAGCACAGTGCCAGGACAAACTGACACCCAAGCAAGCCAGGACATGAAGAAGGAGATGCCACCACAGTGGCGTCCTTCCAAGGCCACACACGCCAGCCAGATGGGCAGGTGGGGATGTCACACTGTCCCCGTGACCCCAGCACTGTGGAGCAATGCCCAGGTGAGCAGCCACCATCACAGCAGGCCACTCACGCACCATCTCCACCACCTCCACCTCGGCGCTGATCCTGAGGTGGTACAGGAACATCTGCAGGTCCTTCTTCATCTGGATGCTGTTGTCGTCCACCTGGGCCACCGTGAAGATACGCATCCGGCACTTGCGCCACACCTGGGGGAATGCGTGAGCGGGCGTCCCTGAGGGGCCTCGGGCAGGCCGTGCTGCGTGCAGCTGAGTTCCCCCCCAGGCCTGGTGGTCCTGGCGTGCTGACCTCCCCCACACCTCCTGTCTCCTCCCTCACGGCGACCACCTTGTGCTGGCGCAGCAGGAAGGGCAGCAGCATAAGCATGCCCCCATCGTGCACGATCCACCACACGTCAATGTTCCCATCGCCGAAGCGCTCCTGGTTTTGCGGGAACAAGTCGATGTTTTTGGCCACCAGCAGGGCCTGGTGTGCTGCTGTGGTGTCACGGACAGTGTCTGTGGAGAGAGGCAGCTGCAGCGGGTCACCCAAGGGCAGGCTGGACCCCAGGAACCCTCATGGAGGACTGGCTTCCTGCCCAGCCAGCGTGGACACACATGGCAGGGCGGCAGGGTCCCCGTGAAGCTACCCCTCCCCAACCCCCAATCAGGACAGGCAATTGGGCAAAGCCCTTACGTCACCAACTTCACCACGGCCTCCAGGGGACTGTGTGACACCTCTCCTTAGGGGACCTCCCAAGTGGGACCAAGGCTTGGGGAAGGGGAGAGGTGGCAGACTTTTAAGTGGCCGTTTGTTGTCTAGGGACAGCCTGGCCAGGACTTCACTGGCCCCAAACACATGTTCTTAGTCCTTGTGATCTCCAGACCGCAATGGGGTGTGATATCACACAGGCCTGAGGACACCACAAGGCCCAGGGGCCACGGCCGCAACACCCACCGACAAAGTTCTTCCACGAGAAAGGGTTGTCCGCCTGCTTCCAGGACTCTGGCCAAGCCATGAGTACAGTGTTGTGCCTCATGCCCCCGAGGCCGGCCGACTGGATCAAGTGGGACGTGCCATCCCGAAGGCTGGAGGACACCACCAGCTGGCAGAACCCTTTGGTCTTCTCCACGCCCATCAGAGACCGGATGTTCTGCAGGAGAGGGAAGGGTCAGCGTACAGCACCAAGCCCAGGTGAGGGGCCTCATGCCGGCTCCCATAACACTGTGGCAGTGCCACCCGGACACTGCAGCCTGCGGGAGGTGAGGCCACAGGCTTGGCAGGGTAGGAGGAAGGTGAGCAAGAGAGAGCAGGCGACACCTGACCTCATGAGGCACGGCTGTGTGCAGATGACAAGGCCACCGTCGGGATGACCTTGAAGTGACTGGTCTTTACCAAACCGCCCACTATGCTATGCTAGCAGACACTGTGGGCCACTTGTTACGCGACCAGAACACTGAAAACGTCACTACAGCTCTTCTAAGAAAGACTGCATTTCTAGCATTCCGGGAAGTCATTAGCGGACAAGCTACAGGGAAAGCCAGTCACCACGGCCCTGTGCATTTTGCCCTTCTGTCACCACAGCTAGTATCTCCCGAACAGCAGGGTTCCAAAGGGACATGTGTGACCCATGCCATGCCATACACTAAACCAATGGCCTCTGGGCCTCCTTGGGGTATAGGGTCTCAGCCACAGGTGACCAGGTGACCATTCTTGGTCCTAGCACCTCAAGGAACTGCCCAGTTAATTTCACACTTGCATGGGCAGTGACCCCTTCAATGCCTGATTTCTTACATTTGGAGCAGGAATATCCCGCCATTGTGTCCTTGTCTCTCCACATCACGGGTTTGTGCAGAAGAACCCTTTCCCCAGGACAGGCCCTGCAGGGTCTCACCAGCATCTGACTGTGATGACAGAGGTTGGAGAAGGTGGAACCACTCACACAGAGGGCCATGGTCACCTCTCCCCCTCCTTATCGTGAGTTCAGCTGCCACCCAAGTCAGTCCCATGGTGACATCGCCCCACGTCACAACTCACCACAGCAGCCCACTGGCCCCTTGCACTCACCATTCCCCACCCTGCTCACCCCTCCTATCCACCTCCAACCTCACTTCCCGGTCACTGCTGCCATCCGCCCACCACCCAGGACAGGAACAGGGCAGGCGTGGGGCCTGCAGTCTTGTTCTCTTTTTTGAAGCCTGCTTGGGTCAGGCCAGTCTGAACACACTGCCCAAAGAGGAACCAGCTGGTGAGTAGGAAGAGTAGCATGGGGCCATGGAGACACAGCTGCTCCCAGAAGGGGAAGGAGAAGGAACTGTTCACAGTGGAGGGCTCGTGGAAGGGGCAGGAGGACTGCGTTTAGGTCCCTTGGGCGTGCCTTTTACCCACAAGAGACCAACTCAGTGTGTGCACTACAAGGCTGTTTCTAGTGCCCGTTAGTGAGGTCGACACCCTCGGGTCCCGGGTACCACGGCCCCGGCTGTGCTGATTGTGCCCCATGCCACACCCAGTCTCAGGAAGCTGGGGCCGGAGCTCAGCTGACTTGGGCTGCTGAAGAAACATCTGCCAGGCCTGTAGCTCCAGGATGCCAGAGCTCTGGCCTGGCAGAAGCCCAGCCTGACGCCAAGGGCTGAAGCCTGGACACTGCTGTCTTGACTTATAGCTCAAAGCCCAGTGGAAGTCAGCACACCTGCCTTGAAGGCCATGGGCAAGGGAACTGCAGGTGGGAGGAAGATGTGACCTTCAGTCAGGGAAGGACAGGGTGGCTCAGGCACTGAGATCATTTCCTCACACAACTGGAACAGAGTGGAATTGTGACGAGTTCACAAGTCACAAAGTCACGAGTTTCTTACAGAAGGTTTATGATTTTAAAAGGTTTTCCCAAGCTGTTCTCATTTTTACACTACCAACTTACAGTCAGATCAGGTCACAATTCTAAACGGTGGCCTGATGGACAGGTGGGTCCCTGTCTTTGCTGCCTTTGCTGATCAGTGAAGCAACCACCCCAGAGGCCAAGGCCTTTCACACAGCCAAAAACAGCATGAACTCTGTTCCTAACTGAGATGGTCAAAGACTGCTCTGCTAAAACACTCTTTGAGATTAAAATTGTCCAGCCAGGGCTGGGGATGTAGCCCAGTGGTAGAGTAATTGCTTAGCATGCATGAGGCCCTGGGTTCTGTCCATCCCTGGGACTGGGGAAAATCTGACTATAAGCTACAAGTAAAAAGGTTAAGAGCGCTCCTTCCCAGTGTGTCCGCAAGTGGAGGGATGCAAAGTGAGGTCAGAGGCCCCCATCGCCACTGGTCACTCACTGCAACACAAACACACTTCCAAACATGTTGCCATTGAGACCACACAGGACCACTCCACACAGGTCCTTAGACTATGCACATGGGGCAGCCCTATCCCCTAGGGTGACCTAGCATGAAGGAGACCTGTGGAAAAGGAGTGCATGTGGTGTTCTGCACATGGTCACAAGGAAACACCAAATCATTTCAGCACCCAAGGGGAGTAAGAGAGTGAAAGTGAGATTGCTTCCAATACTCGCAAGCAGGCCACCTCCCAGAACAGGATCGCCTCTCAGACAACCCACAGATTGCCATCAGGCACCAGGGTTGTGTCAAAAAAGTTCAGGGGCCAACATGAAGATGCTCGCCTAGGCCACTGGAACACAGAACATTCTGACGTAACTGCTATGTTTAAGTCTGTGGGTTCACAAGCAGGGCAGCAGGTATGTGCGTTCACGATGAGCCACAATGCTCAAAGAGGACCACTGGTCTCTCCAGAGGACAAAGGACCCATGGCGTCTCCAGTCTGCCTTGAACTCACTGAGCCTTGGAGTGGCCTGAGAGGCTGCTGGCCAGGTGAAGCCCCTCTACAACTCCACGGGATCCTGGCTCCAGGTCAGAATCAATGTCTACAGATGCCTACAATCTTCCTCTGAGCCACCCTCCCTCCCCGCATGGTTGGCCCAGGCTGAACAAGTTCTGAATGGGCAGATGCACGGACAGCAGAGCGACTTGCACCAGCAAGACCAGACACCGAAAACTGTAGGAAAAAGTTGGCTCCTCACACTCACCAAGGAGGAGGCTGGGAGTTCTGAACATGGTCACCAGCTATGACTCACAAACAAGAGAGGCAAGAAAGGAAGTGTTCCCGACAATCAGGGCAGCCAGGTGTGGTGGGTGAACAGTCAGAAACCATCTCAGCTGAGACCACAGGGGGAGCAGTGAGGGAGGGGTCCGTGGGACAAGGACTCAGAGGACACGGGGATGACCCAATCGCACGGGGATATGGGAGGCTGGAGGTGACCATGGAGGGCTCAGGAAACCACTTGCTCTGCTTCTGCTCATGTCACTAGTTTGAAGGCAGAGAAATGAAGGAACCGTGTCACCGGGCTGCCCGGCCACAGGCAACAGGTATCAGTAGCATCGCACAGGGGCAGGTTCTGGCCCCTCGCACCCTTGTCCTGGGCTCAGGTGGACAGACAGTAGACAGCATGTGGCTGCCACTGCCCAGCCAGTCAAGCGCGGGAGGGGCTGGCTGTACAGCCGAGTGTGACAATGCGCTGAAGGTCAGAGTGTCAAGGCTGGGCCTGAGCGGCCCTCGGCACCCTGGTTCTACAGCTTGCAGAGAGCTGTCTAGGTTTCTCAGGTCTTGCTTCTGCTCATTTCTGACCACAGCCATCTTTGTAGAAACAAACGGCAGTGCAACGTACAAAGCTCTGTCCTAACCCCTGGAGATGCAGGACACTCATCAGCCCTCTGTGCAACCCAGGTGGGAAACGGTCCAGCCCCAGCCCCCATGCGTTCACCTGAGACCCTGCCCTGCCTACCTCCTCAGCCCGCTGCGCCTCTGTGTGCTTGTCCAGGTAGGTGCCCTCCAGCACAGAGCCCACGATGGTCAGGCCCTTACCGGCCTTCAGCTGTGAGGTGAAGGACAGCAGGCGGGGGTGCTTCACACACTGCTCAGCATCCAGGTTCAGCATCACCAGGACCTGGGGCCTGGGCATGGCCAGGGCAGGGACAGCAGTCAGCACAGCAACACATGGCCAGATCATGACAGGTGGGACAGTGAGGCAGGAAGACAGAGAGGGCAGGAAGGATAGGTGAGACAGGAAGGATAGAGGGGCAGGAAGGACAGGGAGGGCAGGCAGGACAGAAGGGACAGGAGGGGCAGGTGGGGCAGGAGGGGCAAGTGGGATAGGTGGAGCAGGTAGAATGGGTGTGGTGGGCAGGACAGAAAGGACACAGGGGACAGGCAGGGCAGGGGGGGCAGGGAGGACAGGGGGGACAGGGTGAGCAGGAGGGACAGTGAAGCTTCTTGGACATGGGGGACAGTGAGACAAGAAGGGGCAGGTGGAACAGGAAGGACAGGTGGGACAGTGAGACAAGGACAGGTTCCAAAAATGAGACAAGAAGGACAGGAAGCAGAGGTGGGGCTGTGAGACCAAAAGGACAGGCAGGGCAGGCAGGGTAGATGAGACAGGAAGGACAGGAGGGACAATCAGGGTAGGTGGAACAGGAAGGACAGGCAGGACAGGTGGGTAGTGCGACAGGAAGGACCGATGGGGCTGTGAAACAAGAGGGAAAGGCAGGGCAGGCAGGGTAGGCGGGACAGGAAGGACAGGAGGGACAATCAGGGTAGGCGGGACAGGTGGGCAGTGAGACAGGAAGGACAGACGGACAGGCAGGGCAGGCAGGGTAGGCAGGACAGGAAGAACAGGAGGGACAATCAGGGTAGGCGGGACAGGTGGGCAGTGAGACAGGAAGGACAGAGGGACAGGCAGGGCAGGCAGGGTAGGCAGGACGGGAAGGACAGAGGGACAGGCAGGGCAGGCAGGGTAGGCAGGACAGGAAGGACAATCAGGGTAGGCGGAATAGAATGGGCAGGCACGACAGGAAGGACAGGCGGGGCAGATAGGACAGGAGGGCCAAGCAGGGTAGGCAGGGCAGGAAGAACAGGTGGGACAGGAGGGACAGGATGGACAGGATGGACAGATGGAGTAGTGAGACAAGAAGGACAGGTGGGACAAGAAGGATGGGGTAGGGGACAGGCAGGTAAGCATAGACACTGTGTCTGAGGCTCCTGGTGACTCCACTGGGAGAGCCCAGGGGCTGGGCAGACTCAGCAGGGACCTCAGGGCAGAGGTCATGCCCTTTGGGGAGTTGGCCTTCTGCCACTGCAACCCAAGTAAGGCAGAGGACTTGCCACACACTGCACCTCTGTCTCAGTCTCGCTGCCCATACTGCCAGTGGCCTGTTGGGGGTCCAGGACCTGCCCCCACAGACTCTCCCGTGGCCAGGCCAGGACCCCCACCAGCACCTCACCCTAAGGGGCTGAGGGCAGAAGCTTCTGAGACAAGGGCTTCCCAGAAGTAGGTCAGCTCCCTGCTCTATTCTGTCATATGGGGACCGGCTGCAGGCGTGCTCACCTCCAGTTCTTGGTGTGGGGGGGGCCGTGCTCCACACGCAGCAAAGCATAGCGGGCAGCATTCAGCGAAAGTCCTCTGATGCCATCGCCCCACTCCTTCTCGGCCCTGAGAGAGAGAGAGAGAGAGAGGAAGGCTACTTCATGGGTACATGTGGGCTTTCTGCAGACCTGTGACAGCTGGCAGCTTCCCCAGGCAGGCAGGGGCTCCTGGGCGGGACTGACCACCAGGGCCATCGGGGACAGGACGGGCAATGTGGGTGAAGGACACAGTGCTCTGAAGGGCAGGCAGCAACCTTGGGCGGAGCTGGCCAGGAGCCCAGGCCTCCCAGCAAGGAGTGACTCAGCCTTCCTCCTCCAGCCACCAGGGAGTAGTGGCAGACAGGTCCCTGCCCCAGAATAAGCAGATTGGGTCTCTGGGAAAAGCCCAAACAGCAAAGAGCCGTGGACATGGAGGTGAGATTGGGGTCCAGGCAGGAGCAGGACACTGTAGGCAAGAAGGCTAAGAGTGAACTAGAGAGCCCACCTCCCGCCAACTCGATTCGGAGGCACTATGTCAGGTTGGTCTTGGGGGTCTAGGTTGCAGACAGGGCAGCAATGATGGGACAGGGTGGCCATGGGTGTCAGGGCAGCCATGGAAGGAGGCTGGGGGGGTTGGAGGGACAGGGCAGCCTTACGGGGGGTGTAGAGAGGGGATGGAGCTCTGTGATGCTGCTCTTGGGGTGTGCCACCCTTGCCCAGGGTTTTTTTTCCTGTTTTGTGTACTTTCAGGGCTTTTTGGAAGTTTATTTTCCCCAAACAAACTCTAAGAAGTCGCAGCTGTTGTGTGCAAACACAGATACACCAGCTGATAAGCTGCAGCACCGCCCCCCTCCTGGTACCACAATGGCTCCCCTGCTGAGCACCTGAAAACGTGTGGGCCAGCCTAGCTGGGAATGGGAGGGAAACCCTGGTCTCATGGCTTGTCCACCTGGCCTCACCAACAGCACCCAGACTTCAGCCCCACACCTGGGTGGGCGTGAGTGTGAGGGATGCGATGCGTCCTGCCTCTGGGCACAAGCGGATCTGCCACTCACCCTCGGTACTCGATGTACTTATAGAAGCAGCCGGCTATGAGCATGGCGAAAAGGGCGTAGTACCAGGAGCAGATGAACATGAGGGCGAGGCACAGGCTCATGCCGAGGAACGACAGGGTCCTGGGGGACACACGGCTCAGACGCTGGCCGGCATGGCCCCCAAGCAGTCCCTGAGTGGCTGCCTCACCAAAGTCACTTTTCCCTTTGTGAAAATCCTTTACACCAGGAAGTCAGCCTTATACCCAGTCACCCCCAAATCTAAAAAGGCTCCCAGGGGCCCCATCCCCACCCCTACCCAGCTGAGCTGCAGCTGAGGACAATGCTGAGCACCTGTTCCCCTCCTGAAGCGCAGGCAGCACCTCAGCAGCACGCAGAATGCAAAATGGGCTCCTTCTGCCCACGAATAGCCTCTGTGACTGAGGGTGAACCACACACCTGCTTAGAGCTCAGAGGCCAGGGACAGGCGCACAGCCTTATGGGCTTCTCTGGGGCTTGTTCCACAAAACTATAGTAAAGACCCAGCCGGGAACTTTGGGCACGGCAGCAGACGGCCCTAAGGCCCAGTGTCCTGGGCCTGTGAGTGCCCCCTGTCCCCCCGCGTGTCCACACAGCACAGCCTTACCAGTGGTAGAACTTGAAGCGTGGACGCCAGTTGGGCGTACGCAGCAGGGTCTGCACGGCGCAGGCCAGGTTCACAAACATGTAGCACATGAGGAAGAACCTGCAGCAGGAGACGCCGCACAGGCCTGCTGACCACCAGGAGTCATACAGTGGTCCCTGCCCTGTACACACCCTGCTCACCACTGCCCAGTGAGACCCTCCCTGTTCACCCACTACTGTGCCCCTCCACAGAGTCTCCCTGACCATCAAGTCTGCCTCCACGCAGGGCTAAGGAGCCTCGTGGATGTAAGTCATGGTCCTCCCACCCATGATCGCATGTAGTAGAGTCCCTGGCATGTCGGCTGCCTGTCCAGCCCCAGCTCCGTATCCACACACGTGACCACCTGGCCTACTGTGCCTGCCCTGTGTGTTCACTGCTTGACCCAAGCAGAGGAAGACCAGGGCCCACGTGGGAATGAGAAGTGGTTACGTCCCCACAGCCACTCACATAGACAGGATAGGGGCCACAGCGTCCAGGGAGGCAATGAGGATGCCGGTCTCGCAGATGAGGGCAGTGAGCAGCAGAGCCCATGTGGGCTCCCCGTTGGACTTCCCGTGGCCAAACACCTGCAGGGGGCGGAGGGGGACAGAGGGGCTGGGGCAGGAAGAGCGCCTCCCTCATGGGTGAGCTGCTGACCAGTCCTGTCTGCCCAGAGGTCTTCCAGATGCGAGACAAACAGAATCCCACATCTATATACATCACCAGATTGTACCCACCACGTCCAGGAAGAAAACCTAACAACCAAGAAGGGAGACCTCAGGGGAGCCAGCCCCACCACACCTGGGTCTCGCACTTCAGCCTCCAGAACTTCAAGAAAACACAGTTGTGTTGTGAAGTCACCCAGGCCAGGCTGCTTTGTTACAGCAGCTGTATGATGCTCATCTGTGTCAACAACCTTCAAATGCATTCCAGAGAGCGCCTTGGTTAAAGAGAGGATGCGAGGTCCTGGGACCCAAAGTCCCCTGCTAACTTGTCAATGAGGTCATCCAAGGTGTGTCCTCTGCAGGCCACATGGACAAGCATGGCCCACTGTGAGGACCTCATAGCACAGGAGCTGTCTTGTGCTCAACCCAGCGGCCCATGGGAGAAGTGACCACCAGGGGGTCCAGAGGTGAGATGTTTGTCCGCTGTCTTTACCCTAAAGGTCCTGCTCTGGTGCAAAGCCGTCAGGGACTGTTGCACACCCAACCCTGACCTTCCCAGGGTCTCCTCCCCTCAGAACAGCAACCGGCATCCACCCACTACAGCTGAGGGCTCACCTGCAGGAAGGGGACAATACCGTCTCGGGCAATGGCCTGCAGCAGGCGGGGTGCCCCGGTCAGGCTCTGCAGGCCAGCACCACAGGTGGAGAAGAACGAGCCAATGACGATGACCCAGGGGGATGGCCAGGCCAGCATGCCAATGACCAAGTTCCCCTGCAGAGCCTCCCCAAACCTGCAGGTGGGCAGGGAGCACAGTCAGCACACAGCTTCCAAAACTGAGCTGAAGATGATGACAATGTCTGAGACAAATCCCTGGACTGGGGGAGGGGTAGGTCCAGACCAAAGAGCCCACTAGCCCAGGGCCCCCACAAGATTGGCCAGCATCCTCTGAAGGGGTTTAGTGTGGGAGCATTGCTTCCCCATGTACTCTGAAGAGACTCAGGTCTTGCCCAGAGTCAGTGTCACCCACTGTCACTTCTGAAGAGGTGGCGTGTCCATTGTATCCTCACCATTGGGGCTCAAAGACCCCTTGGGGCCCAGAAGTTCTGAAGAACAGGTGCATACCCTAAAGAGAAATGGCCAGCAACAACCTAACAGGACGCCTCTGCTTCTCCACCCAGTGGCGGGCCCTGAGGTCCCATGGCTCCTGTCCTTGCCCCTGCGCCCCACCCCATCAGGTATCAGGTGACACATATCATCTCGGTCAGGCAAAGGGCAGCCCAACGCCAGGACAAGGCTTTTGAGCTCCCAGCCTTGGAGTGAGTGTAATTTCAAAGCTCAAGTCATCCTCAAGGAAAGACAGTGCTGACCACACAGCCCGTCCATCTTGCAGAGAAAAGCAGCGTACTTATCTCGCAGGACCACACTCTCAATGCAGGCTCCAAAAAGCACAATGCAGGAGAGATCTGTAGCTTGAGCCAAGGAAGGCCAGTCCGGGAAAGGCAACGGCCCCTGAGGCAAGCTCCAGGATGGGCTCATGCTGGCCAGCGGCCCCAGACCCAGGCTGGGCCTGGACACCGACCCTGTGCCCTCCCTCCTGGGCCAAAGCCATGTATCCAGTGGCTGGGTCCCCATGCCCCAGCCCCACTGCTGTGTTCAGGACCCCACTGTCCCGCATCTCGCTGTGGCTGCACAGAACAAGGCCTCAGGGTGGTCAGGAACCACCCACACCTGGAAAGCCACCCCAGGTGGGTCCATGGTGGTGGTGGGAGGAGGTTGAGCAAAGGTTGGGAGGCTGCACTCCGACCCTGCCGTGCTGGGACAAAGGATACAAATGAAAGACGTGGTCACAATGGCCATAATGGTCCCTGTGGGGATGGACTTCTGGGCGTCCTTGAGGTCCCCAGATCGGTTGGATCCTGCCATGATGCCTGCAGAGCAGAGGAGAAGCCGCCAGTGCCAGGCAGACCTGGAGAACGCCATGCAGCAGGATCCGACCGCAGCAGTCAGAGGGTACAGCCGTGACCACGGGTGCTCGCTACCTCTGGGACTAAGAGACAGACACAGATGGAGAGGGCAGGGGAGGACAGGGCCTCACCAGTCACCGACGGGAAGTAGATGCCGACCAGCATGGTGAAGTAGGTCATGATGTCCGTGAGGACGTATGGCAGCCCGCTAGGCCGGCCCTCCTCAGGCACTGGCACAGAGGGCACACCCTTCTTCTCCACGAAGGCCCCCTTGTCCGAGTACATGCCCCACAGGTTATCTATGGGGAGAATGGGCTATGCTAGGAGACTCTGCAATGGGGTTCTGAAGTGTTCTGCCCCAGCTTCCCCCAAAAGGCCTCCACGACTGCAGGTGAAGATGCTTGCTGATTTCAAGGATGCCCAGTGGGTGAGGACCGCATCTGAGAAGCTGCCTTCCCAAACTTCAGTGTGAGGTTTCAGTGCTAAGGGACCTTGAGCTCCCAAAATAGCCACCAGCATCCCAGAGCCCTCAGTGCAGGCCCCAGCCAATGGGGAAAGAGAGCAGAACCTGCAATGGCACAGACCCTGTGTACATCCTGGGGAGCACCATAGCTACCTCTTCTCCCCACCCCCCAAGCCAGGCTCAGCACAGCTTCACAATGCCTGTGGAAACCCCACAGGGACCTCCACACAGGCCTCCCGCTGCCTTCCATCCATTCCACTCTCTGCCTCCATGAGACTCGGGACCACCTCCTCCAAGGGACTTGCCCTGTTCCCCTCCCTACCTAACCAGTCTGGATACGGCTCTCAGCCAGCATCACTGATGTCACAGCATGCCCTTGGGGGATGCATATGACCCCAACCTTGCATGGGTGGCCACCTAGGGATGGAGCACTCAGGCCTCTCAGAACCATTCCTTTTACTACAATGCCAGGCCTGTCTTCTGGTACAGCAGAGAGAGGAGCCACAGGGTTTACTTCTCAATCATGGAAGAATGCACAGGTGGGCAGACCTGGTCACCACACATGGGAATTGTCTTATTACAGAAGTCCCCACATACGCTGCTCTGAGGTCACAAACATAAACGTGTGCTCTAAGAGCACTGGCTGGCCTGGCACACCACACGTGGTTCCCACAGCTCTGGAGGGGTGGGAGGTGCCATGCAGGGTCCACCCACACCGATTGGCAGTGGCTGGGGAGGGATGGCCTGGACTCAGGTTTGACTGGACCACAGGGACTTGGCCAGGCAGAAGGGCCAGGGCCTCAAGAGTGGCCTCAGATGACCATGCAGCGCTCGCAGTCCTCCCTGATGAAGACCCGGCTGGTACTTACCCAGGAAGACACCACTGGCCACACCAGGGATGCCCTGGATCTCTGTGACATTATTTTGTACAAAGTACTCATCGCAGGTGGTGCTGGGGCTGGAGCCATTGCAGAAGAGTCTCCAGAGCGCAGTGGTCACCGTGCTGTTGTTGACCATCTGCACTTTGGCACAGGTGTCGAAGCTGCGCTTTGACAGTGTGCGGTTCCCCAGGAGACAGACCCTGCAGAGGGAGGGACCATGGTTCATTTTTACCGCTCTTTTTGGTGGATCCAGTGGAGGATCAAGGTCTCCCAAGTAGCTCTGATGTATCACACCTGCCAGTGACAGCAGGGACCACAAGCCTGGGCCACCATGAAACTAGGCTCCAGCAGCATGGGGAAGGGGCACCCATACTCAGACCCTCAGCTGGTCAGAGCTTCTTGCCTCCTCTGCCATGGGCAGGTCACTCAGGAAGGAAGGAGGCTGCTGTCAGCGAGAGGACCCCTCCACAGACAGCAAGACCCTTAGTGGGTTCAGCCCCATCCCAGCCCCACAGCCCTACCTAGGCCCATTGCCCCTACCCAGCCTGTCCAGAGGAGCCCAGGCTCTTTTTCGGTCTTTCTCATGGGTGGTGACCCATCCCACATGCTCACTGGCTCACTGTGACCCTGGCCACCCCTTCTCAACTACTTTGTCCCTTAGAGGTACAAAAAAGAACTCCTTTGAGGAGTTTCTCTGAGGACAACATAGCCAGGTCCAGGAGAAGTGAGAAGGGACCACAGTGGAGCTCGGCCAGTTGACCATCCACAGGCATAGGCCTCCCCAGAACATGGGGGCCTTCACCAGCCTCCTGTCCTCAGATGCACCTAGCCCCAGCTGCACGGGCACCAGTTCATGTTTCCTCAAAACAACCCCACTAGGGAGCCTAAGAAGTGAGTGACCACCCAGGACACCTCCACATGTCCTTCCCCTAGAGAGGAGCTGAGAAACAGGAAGTACGGAGGGGAGAAGCAGCAGAACCCAGAAGATCAGGGCCCAACCCCTGAATGGACACCATTAGATGACTCCAAGCCGGATGGAGGGACAGACCCCAGGACAGCCCTGGGACTCACGGGATGTCAGGAGGGGCGAAGGCTGTCTTGATGACACCAGCATAGATGGCCATGATGGAGAGTACAACGCAGGCCAGAAAGACCAGGGCCAGCTTGTTCACGTACTTCACACCCACAAAGACCACCACAGCCATGAGGGCCAGCGTGCAGCTGCCATACACCCGCATGTTGTTCAGCAGCGCAGCTGCCTCGCTGCCTGTCTCCTCCGCCTCGAAGATGGCAGCACTGGGGGAGATGTAGGTCTGTGGGGACAAGCAAGTCGGGAGGACCAGGATTCACCTGCCCCAGGACCTCCACCCTGCCTTGAGACAGTCCACAGCCAGACCACCTCCCACAGGAAGGCTTCATCCCCCACCTCAGCACAGTCAAACAAAGCAAGCCAGGCCTAAGGTCACTAGAAGCAGTGACGAGACCCTCAGCACAAAACCGCAGTAAACAGCACTGCCCAAGGCGGCCCTGAGTCCCACACCTGAGTCACTCTTCCTTGTCCAGTTCCCACAAACTGCTGGGCAGCTTGTGGCCACCAACAAAGGTAATGGGGCCCTTTCAGCCAGGACAAAGGAAAGAGAGCTGGCAGCTCCTGATCTCTCTCTCTCCCTCCCTCCCTCTCTCCCTCCCCCCAACCTCTCTCTCTTCTCCCTTCCTCCCTCCCTGGTCACTCCCAAGCAGACAAAAGGCCTATGTGATGAGGAGCAGGTCTCCTGCCAAGAACCTCACAAAATGCTAGGGCAGCTCCTCCATCTTCCAGTGGTAACAACACAACTTCCTCAGCATGAACACCAGGTTCAGGACACCTGGGTACCCAGGAGGCTGGGGCCAGCCCCACTGACTGGACAACAAGTTTCCCCTGCTTCCTTGAGCCAGACTGAGGCTCAGCCACTGCCCTAGTTCCTGCATATTCTGCAAGCGCCTTCTCTGGGTCTTACACAAACAATGAGGAGGAGTGAGGTCCACAGGGGATTGTAAAGTCCCCAGGCCGACCACGCCACCTCTGAGGGACCAACAGGACACTTTTTCTTAAAAGCCCACCAAAACTCCAAATGCAAACACAAGTTCCAGGAGAACCACTTTGCAAAGGGTCCTGCAACCTTTGCTAGCAGATAAGGAGTAGCACCTAAGCAGAAATGCAGTACCCAAGAGTAAATCAAGCAGGGACACAGGGAAAGGGCCACAGTCCGGGCTGAGGGGCTGTTCAGGTCCAGTTTTAGAACCTGCCTCCTGAGACAGCATGGACCACAAGGCCACATGCCCATCCTGGGCCCAGATCCATGGCCCAGACAGGGGCTACTGAGTGAGCATGCAGGTCACTGCTGAGTGGCCAGCATCCAGTGGCTCCAGCCACAGCCCAAGCCAAGGAGGCCTGAGGCACTGGCTTTGAGAGCCCGACACAGCAAGGTGGCCAGAGCAGCAGGTTAGGGGACAGTGCTCTCTCAGTGTCAGGTAAACGGGCAAAGAAAGACCCTTGAGAAGGGAAGCCATTCCAAACACACACTCACCAAGAAGATCTCGATGGTCCCCAGGATGTACATGGCCCCCGCAAACGTCGTGCCCAAATAGAAGCAGAGGCCAACAGCCCCTCCAAACTCAGGCCCCAGAGACCGGGATATCATGTAATACGAGCCTCCCGCTGGAAACAAAGGGACAGCACCGTTCTCTAAGAATTCCACACATTCTGGGGACAGGAGCAGCATCTCTGAAAGGGGATGTGCAGCTGAGTCCACCCTCAAACACCATGCAGGAAATGCAGGGAAACATGCCTGTGGCCCAGCACTCAGGAGAGAGGCAGAGGGAGGAAGATCGCCCTCGGGCCCTTGCTCGAAAAAATACAAAGAAAGAAAATGCCTTAGGAGGTTTTGCCTTGTGAACCCCGGTGTCCACCCTAACTGTAGGAGGTGGCTGGCATGTGTCATGAAGAGCTGTCATATGCCAAGAGGGCACAAAACCCTGACAGAGTGCCTCCAGCTCCAGTGGGGGCAGGGCTTCCTTACAGACCAACAGACACCTGGTGGGAGAGGGGGATCCAGAGCCTTCCTGTTCAGTGTGCAGTCAAGGACTAACAGGGCCACATGGAACTTGCTAGAAATACTAGGCCCCAGTCCGCCTCCTCATCAGAATGTACATTTACATGAGCCCCAGGGTCTCTTCTCCCCACCACACCCCACCCCACCCCACCCCACCCACTTCACTCCCAAAATGTGGGAAGGCTCCCCCTGCAGGCTCCTGGAGAAAAGTTTGCCATATTTCAGTGATGGACCAACATGGGACTCTGTTAACCTTCATTTTCATCTTCAAAAACAGGATGAGGAGAGCAGAGGTTGTTTGAGAGCCATTTGGTGCATCCTGCATCACACTTAAGAACCCTCTGTGTAGGGCTGGTAACCACAGCCACGATCACCCCAGTTGTTCTGTCCACCAGCCAAGCTGCTCTGCTCTTAGACTCAAACCATCAAACCTCAGCAGGACAGTGGGAAGACCGAGGACCACTCAGGATGCACCCTCTACCTCCATGAGAGCCAACATTGAGAGTGGAGCTCCCAAGCCAGCATGCTGACTCCAAGCATGGACTACGCAAAGAAAGGGACTCCCTTCACGGACAGTCAGGGGAAAGCAGAGCCCCTAGGGAGACACGACAGCAGGGTCCTCGCACGCCCTCCCTGTGGGCTGCCAACAGGGCACTTCCTAGCACCCATGCTGCCAGGGGCTATGGTTCTGCAGAGGAGGAGTAGCTATCTGGGACTTAAGGTGCAAAACAAGCCCGACCTTATTCATCCACACAGGGGACATCAGAAGTGCCAGGGGAGCAGAGATAGCTCGAGTGAATCTAGTGGCAAATCAAGAGATGTCACCTATTACATGTGCATCACCTAACACAGAGCTCCTAACAGTTAACAGAGAGCATCTTGCTTCACCTTTCCCATGAGATAAATGTTCACCAACCCAGCTAAAGAGTAAGCAGGATTTTGACCCCACAGGAACCTCTATCATCCACTCACATTCCTTGCATGGGGGAGGTTATTTCACGGCAAAATAGGGGAACAAGTAGCCATGATTGCATGGGCTCGAACGCCAGCAAGAAAGTCAGAGAACAAGACCCGAGGCCCAGCCCCATCCCCCTCCCCTCAACAACCACTGTCCCTGCAGGACTTCAGTTTAGTCTTGAAAAGGATGCAGTGTATAAAGAGAATGTAGTTTATGGGAAATTAAAATTCAAAATAAAAGGGTTAGGGTCATGGCTAGGCCCTGGTCATGTGAAGAATGTCAGCCAATGTCCACAGGGCCAACGTGTGATTTGGCCTCCCCCTCATCCCTGCTCCAGCAGGATGGCAGAGTTCCCGACTCAGGAGCAAGTGGCCTCCAGGCTTGCGGAAGAGGGAGCAAGACACCAAGGGTGCTGGAGGCAAGGCTCAAGACCTGCCTGTCAGGCACCAGACCCTGAGTTCAAACTCCAGTACTGCCCAAAAACAACCAAAACCCAAAATCCAAAAATCTGAGATGTAGTGTCCCTCACCTGGTTCTAGAAGAGCCCACCGTGAGGTCAGGCATGGTGGCTAATGCCTGCAATCCCAGCTACAGGGTAGGATCATGTTGAGGTCAGACTAGGCCGCAAGTTCACAAGACCCCATCTCAATTAATGGCTGGGCACAGGTGGAGTATGCCTGTCATCCCATCTGTATGGGAGAAGTCCAGGCTGGCCCAGGCATAAAGCGAGACCCAGTCTCAAAAATAACCAGCACAAAAAAGTCTGGTGGAGTTCAAATGCCAGTACTGCAAAGAAAAAGAAAAAGCCCGCTGTGCCCTTGGACAGTCATGGGAGGAGGCCCCAAGGCCCGGCACCAGCTTGCCCATTCTCATGTGTAGGGGAAAGACCAGAGGTGCTCAAAGGAGGTCATGGGTGGCACACTGAGGGCACGTGGCTTTGCAGGAGCCTGGGTCCTCCTGAGGGGCATATGCATCTCCTAGATATGGAACTCTGTCCTCATCAAAGAGGATGAGACTGCTCTCTGCCTCCCCTGGGCAATGGGACACACCAGTGCCAACCTTGGGTGAAAGATTAATGGCCAGGTCACCAACACTTTGAAGACAGAACGGAGGTGGTACCCATTCATGAGATGCGGGTACCACGCTATGAAAAGACTCATGTCAACCAACTTGATGCCTTAGGCAGTGGGCACCTCTTACCTGGGACCACACCGTTGGTAGCAATGGCGCTCATGGAGATGGCGGTCAGCATCGTCTGCAAAGAGACAGGTGGCCCTTCAGGAAAGGTGTGCCCCAAGACACTCCAACGTGCATCAAGCCTGGGGCCCGGCCTCTCTCTTCCAGGCTCTTGACCTCAGAGGAGCTGCTGAGTGACCAGGAATGAGGCTTCACAAATGCCTCACTGGCTCTCAGCCTTTCCCCAAAAATCACAAAGCTAGCCCTGCAGGCCAGAGGAAGCCCCAGGCTCTGGAACCCACCTAACCGCAACTGGGTGCCCAACCCCCTCCCTCAGGTGAGCCCCAACTGGACATCTACCGACTGGTGGAACACAGGGAGGGTGCCTCATTAGTTGTGTACCTCTACAGGTCACAGGGGACCCCATCTAGTATCCACCTCCCCTGCGGAAAAAGGAGGGTATGCAGGTGAGTCTGGGCAGGCTCTGCCTTCCAGTTACCATCCTCTGCTCAGGAAATTCTGTCTGTGGGCACCAGGAAGTTCCAGAGGCCACATGGAGTGACCAGCTAGGGGACAGGCAGGTAGTTGACTTGCAGCAGAGGTTAAAGGGCACCTCCACTCATTCTCTCCAGAACAGGGTAATTAATTAAAAGAGCTAAATTATACTTCTCCTAACCAGGTAAGAGGAAAGGAGAAAGCAGGTTGGGGAAAGAGGTGTGAGGCACAACAAGAGGTAAGCCAGATATAACAAAAAGTGGAGGGAGAGAGGACTCCATGTCACCAGAGACTAGCACAAGCACATGGGAGGGCAGCTTGAGTCGGCTCCACTGCCCCAAGTCTGAGTTGAACAAGTTACAGACTTGTGTCCCTTTCTCTAAAACAGGGACCACTAAAAATGCCCATGAACTTTCCAAAACAGAAGGTGGTCTTACGAAAGAACAGGACTCTGCTGAGTGGCAATGGCGCCCACCCCCCCCCCTTGCCCACGGAGCCCTCGGCCCATGGCCTTCCTGGACAGGAAAATGCCCCTTCTCAGACAGACAGACACAGCCAAGGCAAGTCCCACTGGACCAGTCTATAACTCAGTCTTTGTCACGCTGGAAGGGGCGCCCTGTCTTCCCTAACGGGAGTCCAGGTCTGAAGGGGGCGGCTCTCTGGAGTGGGCCTGCAGGGCAGTCCTGCATTTCTGAGCACTGGTCTCAGGGGCACAGCGCCTAGCTCAATACCCACAGGTGAGGATGCCACACCTGGGGCCACCTGGAAAATGCCAGAGTCAGCCTCAGCCACTCACGCAGGTACAGCACATGGAAACAATGAGGAAGGACTCCAGGACACCGGCGGCCCCCACGATCCACGTCAGCCGCAGGAAGAGAATCACACCCAGGATGTTCTGCAGACAGGGCAGGTACACACCGATGAAGGTGCCCATGCGCGGAGCCTGGAAGAGAGCACCCATCTGTGGTTACGCTCAGAGGTCAGGGGAACAGAGGGACCAGAGGAGGGACTCAGATAGCCAGGTGCTGAAACTGCAGGACTGGCAGAAACACCTGGCAGAAAACCAAGGCCTCAGGGGTCCAGAGTAGGACCCAGGCCGTTCAGGGCAAGAGGCCTGGGGAGGGGAGCAAAACTACACCAGGCAGAACAGAGAGGCGCTGCCCAGCTCTGCCACCAGCAGAACACTAGGGGTGGGGGAAGGCTGAGAGAGCAAGATGGGGTCCTGGCTGTGTCTGGCAGCTCAGGTGTTGACCCTGACCTGGGCAGTTGAGTCATCAGGGAGAAGTGAGGCCAAAGGGAGGGCTAACCAAGGGCCACTACCCATACACTACAAACCTTTACAGCTTAACACCCACCCTAGCAGGGACCGTGACACCTTCGGTCCACGTGCAGGAAGATCTGCCCTGTGTTCCCTCCTCGGAGCACAGGGATTCACTCCTCAATCAAGCAAACCAGCCAGAGCAAAGGCCACCAAGGTGGCTGGAGCTGCTGGGCACAGGTGTCAGCGCCCCGTCTAGCCCCACCACAAGCCAAAAGCACTTGGCTCAGACCGGGGCCACAGTCAGCACAACCGCAGCCACTGTTGGGAGACAGGCTCAGGATTTCAGGGACACGATGGCTCAGAGTGCCCATCACAGGAAGACATTTTAACAGGAAACACATCTCAATTTAGATGAATACAGAACGAGCTGGGAAGGATTTGTCTTGAGCGCCATTCCCTGAGGATGATGTTCACAGGCCACTGCAGAACGAGGCCTCACCCAGAAGCCTAGCAGAAGACATCCGGAAGCCCCAGCTAAGGGAGGGCCTGGTGGTCACATTCTGGTGCCTGTGATCATGATGGGCAGACTCCAAGGAGAAGACACTGACCACCACCACGAGGACAGGTAGTACACAGGATCCTCCCACTGAGAGTAAGGCGGATGAGCTGCAGAGTTCCACTGCCTGAGGCCCAGGGGTCTTAAGAGAGGGTGGCCAGAATATGGGGAGGTTGGGTCTGAAAGTCTGGGAAGCTTGCCCTGAGCCCCAGGAGGACCAGCGGAGACTGTGTCGTGCTGGGTCTGGGTGGATGGCACAGCAGGACAGCACGCAAACAGCAACCTCACGTAGCTTCCCTCCCACAGAGTCTGGACACTGCATTTTTGAGGGAGAGGACCAAAGTCTTTAATTTGGCTCTGGACTCTGCAAGTTGGGCAGAAAAAGGTCTTCAGGATTTTTTGGTTGTATAAAGGTGAGAAGATGTATGTATGGCACACCACAGTCCAAAACAGACTAAAAGGCTAGAGCAGGGACATGACAAGAAGTGACCCTTCCAGGCAGAGCCATGGCTGGCCAGCCTCCTGGTCCACACATGGCTGCCTGCTCACCAGGGCTTAGTCCCAAATCCTAGCAGTCCCAAGATGAGAAGTCCAGGAGCTAGCTCTGCCCAGTACCTCAGTGCCTGGGAACTCTGGGTCCTTCTGAAAGGGCATGGATCACTCTTGGCCTCCCAGTTGCCCTATGAAAGGCAGCTTTGAAGGACTGACCTGACCCAATTATGGCTCAGGAGGCACGTCAGTGGGAAAGCATGCCGGCTGGGGAAATGGATGCCTGCCTCTGGGGATGCTCGGCCGCAAAGGGACAGTGTGAGCCGACTCTGCCCCTCCCTCCCAGGGACCTAACTGGTCCCGAGTGGGATAGCCAGTTCATTTGCAGCCAAGACCTGCCCATCCCATTACAGACCAGCTCTGCTGAGGGTAAAACGGTGTCCCTGGATCCAGTCTGGGGCACCAGTGCCACATCCCCAAGGGACACTGTGGCCAGAGAGCTGCAGTGCCTGGGGGTGGGACAAAAGGTCCTAGGACATGACCAGGCACACTGTGTACAAACCCAACAACCTGCAACACTTGGCTTAAGGGTGCAGAGAAGCCAGGCACTTTCCATGGTACCTCCGGGGGAGGAGTGGAAGAGAACATGCCAACGAGACACTGTCCTGGTAGAGCTGGGGCAGCAGGTGTGGGGTCAGCACCATGAGCCGGGCTGGGCGGTACCTGGAGCTGGGCAGAGTTGAGCAAGCTGAGACTGAAGGTCGGTTCCCAGAAGTGTCTGGACCAGGACCCCATGGACAATATCTGTTCCCTGACACAGGCCAAGGTCTCCCAGACACAAGCTCCAGCAAAGACAGACAGACAGACAGATGAATGGACATGTGTACCATGGACAGGGAAGGACTGGTGCTCCCAAAATCCTGAAAGGGCCAGAGCAAGGCCATGAACCAGTTCAGGGCATGGGTGAAGCCCCCAGAGATGTGAATCCATCATTGTGCCCTTGCACGCCTTGTGTAGCTGTGACTTGCCACCTCGGAGAGGACACTGCAGAGAGCCCTGCTGGGGGCCCAGGAAACAGTGTGGTCCAGAGATGGCTTCTGGGGAGGCCCCTCTGGGCCAGGACAGGCAGGGCCAGGCTAGAGTGGAATGCCATCATCACCCCGAACCCTGTCCCCAAAAGCCACAGGCCCATCAAAGCTACACCCAGCTGTACCATCTCCTATGCCTTCAATCTCAACAGTACCAAAAACAAACACAGAATACCCTTGAAATACAGTGTTAGCTGCTGTGTTCACAGTAAAGGGGGAGGAAAGAAGAAAGACATCTGCCACTTGTGTCCTGACTTCCCGCTGACGAAGGTCAGGCTGGACACTGCATGTGGGAGGCACTCAGGGAGCAGTTGGATGTGACCTGCAGGGTGGAATGGAGGGCAGAGGGCCAGGAGGGACTCAGCCATCACTGTTCCAGTCAAGTGGCATCAGAAACCCCACCCACCAGAGAGAACTTTAAATAGTGGTCCCAACCACTATTTAAAGACTCAGTCATCACTGAAAACTTGGTGTGCACATGTAGGCACGTGTACTAGCACTTGGGGACATGGACTTTGTGGAGACCGGGGCTGGGCAGACATGATCCCGCCAACCTCTCATAGCCTTGAAAGATGCAGCCTGCACCAGGTTCTCTTCAGTGGCTTTTGTTTGTGTCTTCTGATTGCACAATAATATAAAGATATTGGAAGAAATTTAAGAAGCAGAGGGAGGGGGAGGTAAGGAGACGCCACACTAATCACAGATGTTCCCATTCCACCTGCACATAGCCTTCTCCCACAGCTACTCCCACAGCTGACCACTGGCCCTTCCCCTTACAAAATGCCCCAAGTTTCCATCACATTCTGGGACCTGTGCTGGAACCCCGTGGGACCTTCTGGTGGTTCCCACGCTCAACTCTGACACAGCTGTCTGGAAGCCCATCTTTCTACAAGAGTCCTCAGAGTAGCTCTGTTTATCTCTCAGGAGGAAGTTCCTAAGAAACACAATTCAGGTCCTGGGATTAAAAGCAATAGCAAGAGCAAAGGGCAGAGGGCAGGGGACAGAAGGCGGAGAGAAGGGTGGCTCTATGCACCTGGGGCTCAGCTGTCACTCCATCTGCTGGGAGCCACTCTGAAGCAAAAGCCTCAGAGACCACCTCAGAAACCCCTCCCGCTAGAGAGAACAGGGCTTTGGAAGGGCTTTTTGAGAGTCAGGGCGTTAGGGAAGGTACCAGAGAAATACAAACCACCATTTAAAATCCAAAAGCTCAGTGTCTGTGGCCACTCGGGGCCCAGAGCTCAGAGCCATTCCCCGGTCCTCTGGAGCTACATTGCCCAGCTGACCCCTGGGAAGGGAGTCCTGCATCCCTCACAGGATGGCCAAAACCTGAGTTCCTTCTTAAACACCCAAACCTAGAAGTCATGCAAAGGTGCAGGGCACAGACAAGGTGTCCACCGAGACACACAGCATTGGGAAAATGAAGGAGCCATGACCCCTCGCGAAGCATAAGATTGGAATTGACTGTAACACCGAGCAAGAATATTCTCTCATCAGAAACTGCCAAGGTCGCACCCTGGGGCCCAGAGGGACAGCGGCGGGAGCAGGCAGGTGGTACCTTGATCTCCCGCCGGCGGAAGTCCTCATCTTCCTCGTGCTCCACCACGCCCTGGCTCAGGTTGGTGTAGGTGGCCAGCTTGTTCAGCAGTGAGGACACCATGGGGTTGCTGTCCATTTCCTCCTGTGTGGCGTGAAGCACTGGTCTTGAGTAGGCCTTCAACACCCCACATCAGCGGGTTACCTGCCCAGCACACCCCTCCATCCCCAGGGCTGGGTAGAGCTCAGCTTGGTCCTGAACTCCCAGGTCTGCAAGAGTCAGCAAGGCTCCTGAACACCTGTGTGGCAGGTCTGGAGTCAGGGGTTGGGGCACCAGGCCATGCTGAGAGGACCCAAGGAGGGAGTGGAATTCCAAGTGGTCCAGGGGCTCTGAAGGCCAGGACATCCCCACACTCAGGGAGCCCACGGAGAAGGTGCTGGCCAAGGGGTGCACCCTGACCTAACAGGGCAAGACAGGTGAATGGCTCTCCAGCTCTCTCACCCCACTGGGGTCCAGGCTGGCAGGCAGCCATCTCTGGGACCCTTGGCTCATCAAAGGTGGGACCCCTCGAGCTGAGCACTCCTTTAGTTTTCTACTTGAAAGCCACTGTCCTGAGCACCTTCTTACTTTCCTGGAGAAAATAAAATTACCTCAAAAAGCGCCATGTTCTTTCCTTCAAAGTAACTCTCTTTTTCCACTTCCACATTGTTGATGAACGGGCTGTTCTCTCTAGGATCTCCATTTCCTGCAGGGAAACAGTCCAGGTCAGTCTCAAGAGGAACCCAAGGAAGACTGGAGGGGCAAGCATTGGGGGCCTGCACCTTGTCCCCGCAGGTCACCTCTGGCCACCAAGCCTTCACTTAGGGCCCTAGCTAAGGATACCTGCCCACACATCCACATTCAAGGCGTCTGTGCGTCCCCAGCCCACGCACAATCTGAAAGTCATGCATCAGGCCACTCGCCCCAACCTCACCTGAACAATGGGACGTCCCCATTGCCATGGAAAACTCTCTTCTCATGGTAAAGCTGGGTAAGACCCACCTTCATCAGAGGTGCATCTGCCAGCCCTTACTGCTCACCCCACTGTTTGAGGGCAACTAAAAGGTTTCACTGCTTTTTCCAGCACCCTAGGGTTGAGCACTGGCTTCCCAGGTAAAATGGTTTGTCCTCCATCTCTGTCCTAAAGGCTGAGAAGCAGGGAAGGCAGGTGTCCCACAGACAGGCAGGATCTCTGGCCATGAGACAGCTGGTATCCACAGCCCAGGAGGCAGGTGTGGCCTCAGCCAGCCTGCTTAGATTACGTATGACTGAGCCTTTCTATGTCCTCAGGTGGTAGATGTGACTACCTGAGCCTATCTCCCCTCCCCCACCTACACACACCTCTGCTTCTGACCTATGACCAGACAGCAGCACCTATTCCTGTCCCCCACACGCACCAGGGGCCACCTGAACAGCTCACACGTCCCGTGACTCTTAAAGGGCCTTGTCCTGTATCACTGTTCCCCAACCCCAAAAGCCAGCACAGCTGTCCCCAGCCCACATGGGTTCCAAGCTCAGGATAAGCCTGGGTAGCCTAGCAAGTGGATATAGGGGCCGTTTATTAACCCCTTCCTCAGCAGAACCAGAGAGACGTGCCTCCACAGGGGCTCCCCAGCTTCAGGGACACAGGACATGCCTTGTGCCACCAAGTTCCCAACCCACCCTGACCTGCCTCAGTTTACCCACATGTGAGACGGGCCTCAGTCCTGTGTGTGATGCCTTAGTGGAGCCTCTGGGAGCTGAGACAAGGGCTGATCCTGCTCGGCCCCCACCACGTGGTCGCTTAGGAAACCTAGGGTCCCACAGAGGGACTGAGTGGCACTTCCCGGAGCCTAGAGAAAGGGTTCTGCTCTGAGTGCTGGTAGAATAGCAAGGGAAAGGTAGGAACTGTGGTGGGGGCCTCTGAGGTTGAAGGGGGCAGGGGGCAGGGAGGAAGCAAGAGAAACCAGGAACACCTCGGCAAACAGAGAGGAACCCAGTGAGGATAAAACCAGGGCGGTTCAGCCCCACAGTAGCACCCTACAGGGAGTTCATGAGCTCAGCAGCCCGGAGAGGCCCCTGTAGCTTCCCCACTCTTGCAGACAGGACCTCCCCATCCACTCTGCCTCTTTCTCTACCAAGTCCAGAGCCAATATCTCAGGAGTCTTAGACCCCACACTAGGGTTCCCCAGGGCAGGTCCATCCAGCAGTCATTACATGATTGGCCTGACCTCAGGGGCTTGGCCACTCTATCAGGTCCAGGAGGAGGAGGGGGCCTGACTCCAGTAAGCACAGGTCCAGCACAAAACACAGGATGCCTTGCATGCTTAGGGACAGTAGCATTTTCTTGGCCACACGGATACCTGGTCGTAGGAGGTTCTGCTGAGAGGTGAGCACGGGGCCGAGGTGTTTTAGCCACAGCCCTAGTGACCTCTTCCCTTGGAGCTGAAGTCCCCTCAGAAATATGAATATGATCCAGGACTTCAGGTGTCAGAGACAAAGGGCCAGCAGGTGGACTAAGAAGTGAATCACACAGAAGGCCTGAACTCAGCCCCACCAATGCTAGGGACCAGCTACCTCCCCTTCATGGACACAGGATACCCTGGGCCCTGCTGTGCCACAGGCTGGGGCCAGGGCAGTAATTCCTTGTATTGTTTTGCTTTTTCAAAGTTATCTGGTTGGGTCAGGTGCCGGTGGCTCACACCTGTAATCCTAGCTACTTTGGAAGGTAAGATCAAGAGGATTACGGTTCAATGCCAGGCTGGGCAAACAGTTCGAGGGACTTCACCTCCGAATAATAATAGAGCAACAATGGACTAGCAGTGTGGCTCAAGCAGCAGAGCACCCTCTTTGCAAGTGCAAAGCCCTGGGTTCAAACCCTAGTCCCATCAAAATTAAAATTAAAAGAAAAAAAAATAAATTCTGAGATTGCATTCAGTTTGGGAAAACTTCAAATCACAATATGACCCCTTTCATGTCACAAATTATGTGTTTTTCTGATTCTTCTGGGGACAATATCTTAAAAACCAGGCACTTCACCCACAAACTGGCCCTGCCTATCAGTGACTGATGCCCTCATGCTCGAAGGGCATACACACCACGGTTGGCTTTGTTTTGTTTTAACTGTAGCTTGAGTTTCAAATGCTCCAAATCCTGATGGATTACACTGGCCTTATGGGTTATTCTCCTGGTTCACAACACAGCTAGCCTATGGGTAATCAGTTTGGCCTTATGGGTGACCCCCTAGTTCACAGTATAGCTGTCCATTGAGAATCACAATGATCTCCACAAAGCCCAAACCCAAGGAGCTGACAGAGGTCCCCTATGCCCCACTCAGCTCCTTCCATCTCAGTGGAAGTCTGATCCAGGTCCCCGTTACAAACTCCGTATCAAGGCCATCGGGCCAGTGCACAAAGGAACAAGGCACTCCTAGGCCCCCAAAACGTGCCCAATATATGTTCAACACACAAGCAGTGGGAAAGACTTCAGTCAGGCCACAGCCTAGAAGTGGCTTCACTTTAATGAGTTTCCTCCCAGAGACCCACCTGGAGGCCCCCGACCCAGAGATGGAGCAATGCCAATCAGACAACCAGCCCTGCTGGTCACACTGCCTGGGAGACAGAGGCAGACCACAGAAAGATCCCAGGTTCCTTTGTGCAGACATCACAAGACTACTCAGTGAAACCTAAAAATCCTCATCGTGACCATGTCAGTTCCCCGACCTTGGTGACTGCAGCTGAGTTTTTAGGAAATCCACCCAAGGAGTGGCCCCGTATCTGCTACATACTCTCAGTCATTCAGCAAGAAGTGTGTGAGAGACAGAGAGAAAGAGGTGGAGGAACGAGGCAGGAGAACAGAGAGCAAGAAAACACAACATGCAAGGACTGGGCGAAGGGAAATCAGAAATCCCTCCTACTGCTGCAGTTCTCTGAAGTCTGAAGTTACATCAAAATCGGGTGATACATTCAAATAAAAGAGAATTTCTGAAAATATCTCCTTTGGATTATGGGTGTTTCTGAGATGAAGTCCCTTCGGGGTCTGCTCCCCACGTCGAGTTTTCAGGGTACCCTGCTCAGTTACATGGGGGATCTTTGCAGTGACTCTGCTCACCTTAGACCACAGCTCCACCTAGAAGACATGAGGCCACACCTTGGCTAGGGCAGCAGGCGTCATCAGCTCCAAGGACACAGACGACCAGGGTGTGGCCTCAAGACCAACCAACCTTGGGAGGGGACAGATACAGGGTTTCAGGTTCTCCCTCTGATGCAGCCAATTCCACACTCATGACCTTGGACAAAGTCGCTGCTGCTCAGCTTGAGTTCCTGGTCACCAGGGAGAGGCAGCACACATGAAAGGACATGGAAGGGCAAGTGCTGCTCAGAAGCAGTCTCCCACAGCCAACTTGGGGTCAGGGTCTGCCAGCTGGATCTGTCACAGAAAGCGTAGCCTGGCCACATTGGGTTTTAGCAGTCACGACTAATGTTTGCAAGAAATCTCCGTTTACCTGAGACTTCTACCAGCTGCAGAGGTAGAAGTGTGCACAGAGCTATGGTCACTAAGACTAAGACTTAGGATGCAGCCTTCACCTTTCTGACACACAGTGTGACAAGAGGACGTCAAAGAAACAAAGCCCGAAGCACTGAGCAGACCCCCAAGCTTCCTCCTAGACTATCTGGGCATGTGTCTACTGTATAGAGGGCTGGGGGTGTGGTTCAAGTGGCAGAGAGGCCCTGAGTTCAAACCCCAGTATGAAAAAAAAAAAAAAAATTACAGTACAGGACGAGCCTGGAAAAAAGCACTGAGTAAACACAGTACAAATAAAGTTGGGCTGGAGGGGCGGGGATAGGGTGGTGCACTCTTAATCCTACACTGAAAGCACCACACACCAGAGAGGTCGCATGGATCTAAGTGGCTACCATACCTATGGCTTTTCATCTTCCTGCTTATCAACATAACCCAAGTGCAGAAAACTGGGAAACACACACACAAGAACAGCAAAACTCAGCATCAGAATTTTGGCAAATTCCTCCAATTTGGGAACTGTGCTGAACCCAAGTTTACAACCAACCACCTTCTCTTGCCCTCAGTTCTAAACCATGATTCTCAGCTCCAATCCTTCAAAGAGAACACAGCCTCCCTCTTTCAAGAGGAGTCACTAAGTCACTGTCGATGCTTAGGAGCCTGGACAGAAAGAAAGTTCCCATGGAGGACGTCTCCATGGGGTTAAAACAAGCTGGAGCCAGTCCTGAACTGAGCAGACAGGAAAATGCCCACGGTCCGGTGCTCAGCCTACCGGCACCTGAAAGGACATCCCTGCTGGATTCTCCTGGAGCCAAGAACGCTTAATTAAAAAAATCAAATGCTTCCAGCTGTGGGATTCACCTGCATTTCCATAAAATGAAAATGCCACAACCTATTTTCTTCATTACCTAGAGGTATGAAAGTTTTAAGCTCTCTCCTAACTACTTTTAAATCTAAATATACTCAAGTTTGAGTTAATGTTTCTTGAAAGAACATAGACATTTAAAGTTTGCACAAGACACTTGAGTTAAACACACACGAACACGTTCAGGAATCACCAGGCCTGCTTCCAAGCCTATCTAATCCTTATGCAGAGAAGCTTTGACTTCAGAGGGGGCAGCCACTCACACAAGGAACAAGACCCCCACGACTCCACACACATCACCAGGCATGACCAGCCAGGACCCTGGGTCACCCTGAATGGCT